TTGAATAAAGAAATAATATACATAACCTAAAAATTGAAATATCCAAAAGTTGGAAAATCGAAAAATTTAAAAATAAAAACTCGAAAACTTGCATGTCAAAAATTGAAATTGAAAAAACAAAAAGTCATAAAAGAAGAAATTTTTTATAGAAAAAATAAAATAAAAAACCGAAACGAAAAATTGTAAATCGAGAACTTGAAGAAATAAAAAATTGAAAAATCGAAAAACTGAAGAATTTAAAAATGAAAATTCCGGGAGTTGCATGTCAAAAAAAAATTGAAGATCAAACAAAATGAAAAATCGAAAAATTGAAAAATCAAAAAAACGAAAAATTGAAAATCGCAAAATTTGAAGAAATAAAAAATTGCAGAATTGCAAATCTAAAAATTGAAGAAACGGAAAATTGAAAAAACTGAACTTGAAAAAACATAAAATTATAAAATCGAAATATTGAAAAAATGAAGAATCTAAAAATTGAAGAAAAGAAAAATTGGAAAATCGCAAATCAAAAAATTGAAGGAATGAAAAACCGAAAAAATTAAAATTGAATAAAGAAAAAATATACATAACCTAAAAATTGAAATATCCAAAAGTTGGAAAATCGAAAAATTTAAAAATAAAAACTCGAAAACTTGCATGACAAAGAAAAAGTAAGAAATATTGAAAAATTAAAATATCAAAAGATTGAAAATCTAAAATTTAAAAATCCAGAAATTGAAAAATCGAAAAAGTAAAAAGGTAGACACATCTAAAAATCAAGAAGTCAAAACTAGGAAAGCCGAAGAATTATTGAAAAATCCTAAAACTGAAACATCTAAAAACTGAAAAATCGAAAAATCAAAAAAGTGAAGTCGAAAAATAGAAACCTTAAAAAATCGAAAAATTGAAGAACTGAGGAACAGGAAAATCGAAACACTCGAAGGTCAAGAAATGGGAAAATCAAAACATCGATTAATTGAAAAATCGAAAAATTGAGAGTTTATGAAAGTCAAATACCCAAAATATGATGAGTCTCCACTTGTGGTTTATCATTCCATTCATATTTTTTGCCATTTGCCCATACAGGGTGACTCAAAAAAATTAATGAATTGGTTCATTTATTTTATTGAATAAATCAAAAATTGCACAACTAAATCAAAAATGAAAATCTTGCAGACGTTTGTATTGTTGGTATGTTAAATTGTTAATCAAAATATATCTGTTTATTCCCTCCAAAAAATTGACGACGTCATCTCAAAATTCTTCCTAAAATATACTAAATGTAACGAGTTTTTACTTGTGATTTATCACTGCAAGGGAAGTTCTGTTGAAACAACTTTCGACCAATTTTTTCTAGTTTTATGAGCAAGCAGTAACCCCGCCCACCCACCCCTTCTTCATTCCAGTGACCACTCCTAATATTGTTCAGTCCTATTTTAGCAAGTTCTAGTTAATTATTTTGTTATACCACTTATCTGCTATAACATTTATTTCTTATTTCTGAAGACAAAATGAGAGACCGGGTGGGTGGGCGGGGCTAAGTTTAACCGTTTCCCACAGAATCTTTTATGAACAAGCAATAGCCCCGCCCACCCACCCCTTCTTCATTCCAGTGACTACTCTCAACATTGTTCAGTCTTATTTTAGCAAGTTTTACTTAATTATTTTGTTATACTGCTTATCTGGTATAACAATTATTTGTTATTTCTTAAGACAAAATGAGAGAACGGGTGGGTGGGCGGGGCTAAGTTTACTTTTTCCTACAGAATCTTTTATAAGCAAGCATTGGCTGTTTTTCAAATGACAATTGAAAAACAGCAAATCTAAAACCGGGAAGTCGAAAAATCAAAAGATTAAGAAATCGAAACATTTGAAAAATTCGAAAACTTGAAAAATTCAAACATCGAAGAACTGAACTGAAATATCGAGAATTCGAAAAATCTAAAATTTTAAAAATTAAAAAATCTAAAATTTAAAAATCGAAAAATTGAAAAAGTAAAATAATCGACACATCGAAAAATCCAGGAGTCAAAAATCGAAAAGACGAAGAATGGAAATATTGAAAAATCCCACAACTGAGACATCCAAAAACTGAGAACCTAAAAAGTCTAAAAATTGAGCAATCGAAAAATCCAAAAAGTGAAGTCGAAAAATAGAAACCTTAAAAAATCGAAAAATTGAAAAATCAAAAAATTAAAGAACTGAAGAACAGCAATATCGAAACCCTCGAAGGTCAAGAAATGGGAAAATCAAAACATCGATTAATTGAAAAATCGAAAAATTGAGAGTTTATGAAAATCAAATATCCAAAATATGATGAGTCTCCACTTGTGGTTTATCATTCCATTCATATTTTTTGGATTTGCTCATACAGAGTGACTCAAAAAATTAATGAATTGGTTCATTTATTTTATTGATTAAATCAAAAATTGCACAACTAAATCCTTGAAAATCTTGCAGACGTTTGTATTGTTGGTATGTTAAATTGTTAATCAAAATATATCTGTTTATTCCCTTCAAAAAATTGATGACGTCATCTCAAAATTTTGCCGAATAAATTCTTCCTAAAATATACTAAATGTAACGAGTTTTTACTTGTGATTTATCAAGAGGGAAGTTCTGTTGAAACAACTTTCGACCAATTTTTTCTAGTTTTATGAACAAACATTAACCCCGCCCACCCACCCCTTCTTCATTCCAGTGACCACTCCTAATATTGTTCAGTCCTATTTTAGCAAGTTCTAGTTAATTATTTTGTTATACCACTTATCTACTATAACATTTATTTCTTATTTCTGAAGACAAAATGAGAGAACGGGTGGGTGGGCGGGGCTAAGTTTACTTTTTCCTACAGAATCTTCTATAAGCAAGCAATAGCTGTTTTTCAAATGACAACTAAAAAACAGCAAATCTAAAACCGGGAAATCGAAAAATCAAAAGATTAAGAAATCGAAACATTTGAAAAATTCGAAAACTTGAAAAATTCAAACATCGAAGGACTGAACTGAAATATCGAGAATTCGAAAAATCTAAAATTTTAAAAATTTTAAAAATTAAAAAATCCAAAATTTAAAAATCGAAAAATTGAAAAAGTAAAATAATCAACACATCGAAAAATCCAGGAGTCAAAAATCGAAAAGTCGAAGAATGGAAATATTGAAAAATCCCAAAACTGAGACATCCAAAAACTGAGAACCTAAAAAGTCGAAAAATTGAGCAATCGAGAAATCCAAAAAGTGAAGTCGAAAAATCGAAACCCTAAAAAAACTAAAAAATGAAAAATCGTAAAATTAAAGAATTGAAGAACAGCAATATCGAAACCCTCGAAAGTCAAGAAATGGGAAAATCAAAACATCCATTAATTAAAAAATCGAAAAATTGACCGTTTAAATGTCAAATTTGAAAAATTGAAAAATCGAAAATTTGAAAAAACGACAATTCAAAAACAGAAAATCTTAAACCGGGGAGTCGAAAAATCGATGGATTAAGAAATCAAAACATTTGAAAAATTCGAAAACATGAAAAACGGAAATATCGAAGAACTGAAATGAAAAATCGAGAAATCGAAAAATCTAAAATTTTAAATATTGAAAAATTAAAATATCAAAAAACTGAAAAATTGAAAATTTAAAAATCGAAAAATTGAAAAAGCGACAATTGAAAAAAGAAAATCTAAAACCGGGAAGTTGAAAAATCGATGGATTAAGAAATCGAAACATTTGAAAAATTTAAATATGGAAGAGCTGAAATGAAAAATCGAGAAATCGAAACATCTAAAATTTTAAATATTGAAAAATTAAAACATCAAAAAAAAGTAAAAAGTCGTCACATCGAAAAATCCAGAAGTCGAAAATGGAAAAGTCGAAGAACAGAAATATTGAAAAATCCCAAAACTGAAATATCCAAAAACTGAAAACTTAAAGAATCAAAAAATCAAAAAAGTGAAGTCGAAATATCGAAACCTTAAAAAAATTGAAAAATTGAAAAATCAAAAACGTGCAAAATCGTAAGATCGAAAAATTGAATAATAAGTAAACTGAAAAATCTCAAAACTGAAATGTCCAAAAACTGAGAAATTAAAAAATAAAATTGAAAAATTGAGAAATCGAAAAATCAAAAAAGTGAAGTTGAAAAATCGAAACCTGAAAAAATAGAAAAATTGAAAACCCAAAAAACCTGAAAAATCAATCAATTGAAAAATCGACAAATAAAGGGTTTATAAAAGTCAAAAATTGAAAAATCGAAATATTTAAAAATAAAAATCGTTTCCGAACGCTTAGAGTCGAAATTGGCCTGAGTGCGCTCTGGTCTGTAGATCAAACAAGTTCTCAGACGACGAACTGTAATTCGTGTGACCTGAATTAAAGTGAAGGAAACAGTAAGCAGCTTGTAATATTCGGGTAAATCTAGTGTCAATTTGTCGAAAATAAAACGCGTCGTTAAAGATATTATGACATTTTTTCTATTGTAATTAATTTTGTTCCTAGTTAGAAACAAACACTGTTGCCAACATAAGCCGAGGAGTCCTCAACCGTCATTTAATTTAAACTATGACGCTTCTCTAAGCAAAACATGGATAATCCTGAAGATCTTGGCATTTTCAGATAACCTGTGCGCTACTAACGAGAAAAATAGCACTTTTTTATTGAGTACACGAAAAATAATATTAAACGCGAAATGTTAATTTGTTGCACACAATAGAAATACGTATCAAACCCCGTTAAATTGTGTGTTGTACAACACATTTTTTTAAATACATACCGAATTATAACAATAAAAATAAAAAATATTAGCGATTCTTCGTGCTTTTATGTTGAAATTCCAATATTTCTACTGACCGAGTGACGTCACTGCGCCAACTGGTTTCATTTTGAGCCGCACGAGTGTCATACCTAGAGAATTATTATATCATCGTTTTAATAGTGACCCTTGAAAGCCTTGACGAGCCGCCTCTGACCCAGACTGTCACTTCACATTCGTTGCAAATATTGTAACCTCAAAAAACAATTTGAAAAATTTAAAAGACGACAATAAATAATTATCACTGTGGTTATCAATTTTTTCCGTCATTTCGTTTGTTCGTTACAACGTAAAAACAGAGTTTGTCTCACGTCACTTGGGAACAACGCATCTTTGTCGCACCCTATGCCAGAAACGCGCACCCGTATCTCCCGTCTTCGTCACTCAGGGACGCCTGGTTCCAACTCTGTGCTTTTAACTCATTCCAAAAATAGCTCGTGAAGTGTCAACAAGAAACGGTTTTTTAAAGGGAAAATATGTGTGAAACGTTAAATGGGTGTTTTAAAAACGAGCTTCACGTAATAGAGTGCATTTTTGGATAAAACGTACCGATTTCGATACATTTTCGCGACCAGTCGCGATAAAAAATTCGTTAACCCATAATTTAAAACACTCCATGGATTTTAGTAACTTGAGCAGGACAAGGTAATTTTTCAAAAACTGTGTTAAAACGTGGTGAACTCGACCAACATTTGTAGCGGTAGGTGTTTAAACGAAAAATATTATTTGTGATTTTTAGGTTATGTCAACTTTACTGACCGTAATTTCGTTGTAAGTTTTTAAAAAATGACTGAGCGTTATTCGTTTACTGTGGATAGACACCTGGTGGATAGCACCATGGCCTGGAGTCAAGATAATATTGACGGCGCCACTCTAACGGACACCTATACGAGTGCTGAAGAAGATTCCCCGACGAGATATTTCTCGGTTTTGGATTCAACCAGCAACATATCGCTCGAAAACTTAAACATCGCCCTCTCAAACCCAAAATTAGAAGTGGAAGACCCGATTCCTTACACTGAAGAAGTGCCTGAGCAACCTGATGAAACCAATGATCAAGTTGTTATTTTCAACGTCGAAGGGTCAGACGAACTGTTCGGGATTCAGGTCGTGCAAGACGAGGAAGGCAATTTACAAAAATACCAGTTCCAGTTTAGGTAAATTGCGTCGGGTGTAAAGATGTGGTTTGGTAATTTTTTTTTGTGGGTAGAAAAAACGAAAATGGACACCTGGAGGCCATTCCGGAGACGATTACGCTGATCCCTATGGAGGAGGGTACCCCGGAGGAAGCGCAAGAGGTTGTGGAAGACTCAGAGTACGCGGCCCCCATAGAAGATAACGCCGCGATGCACGTGTATGTGCAAGAGGACAACTCGAATGAACACATTTTGCCTGATAACCACATAGAGGACAACCTGGAAGAACAGTTAGAGGAGGAGACCGGCATTATGTACGAAACTGAAGGGGTTGAAGAAGAACCGGTGGATATTAAACCTGGTAAAAATTATGACTTGTTTCCACTATAAAATTGCTGACGTTGATTTTGTTACAGCGGTTCTGCAGCTGCAGAACGTCAAGCAGGAACCCCAACCTGACTATGATACCGCCACCTTAATGGAAGAAGAAACCTTCACTACCAACCTAGAAACCCAACAAATCCCCGATTTCCAGACTATCTCAGACCCCCCTGACACCAACTTCGAGTACGAAAGGCCCCCCGACGACAGCACTTCCCCCCTCGAAGACAACTCCCTATCCTCCGACCTGAACCCTGAAGACGACTCCCAAGAATCGCAACCGCACGACCAAGACTTCGAACACGTCGAGGTCAGTCCTGACATGAACGCGGTCCAAACCATGCAAAACCTCGACGAAGAAGACGCCGATTTCAATAACGAAAATGCGTTGAACGACTCCGACGAGAACGACTACCACATCGTGGAGGGGCTGCACATCACCGGGGACGTGGAGCACCAGATGGAGAAGCCCCCGAGTAATATCCTGAAGCACGCGCTCAAAACCAACACCGAGTCGCCGAAGATCGTGAAGAAGGATAACAAGTTGTATTTCTACGTGGTGCAGCACCCGGAGAAGGAAAACGTGGACTCGTTGTCGATGGAGATGTCGAATTTGTGCAAGCTGAAGGTGAATCCGAGGAGCATTTTGAAGAGCTCGCATGTGATGTTGCAGGCGAAGAATGAGATGGAAGGGGCGACGCAAGACGAGAGGATGAATAAGAGGTTCGCGAGGGGCAAGGAGACCATGCAGGCGATGCTTTTCCATAATTTTATCAATAAGACGACGATCCCGCAGGCGCCGGTGAGGCAAATTCGGCTGCCGAGGAAGCAGAAGATCAAGCCGGTGGAGAGGATGGACGAGGAGATCGTGGTGCAGGAGATGATGGTGTCGAATACCGGGTTCGTGGAAGCGGGGAGTGGAGGTAATTTTTTCTTACTTGGAATCGAGCCCAAAATTTGCAATATTTTTCCCATTTTTCTTAATTTTTCGTTTGTTACATTTTTTCGATTTGCAATTTTTCATTTTCTTCAATTTTTTAAACTGATTTTTCGATTCCCCGATTTTCCATTCTTAAATTTTTAAGTGTTGCAATTTTTGGAGTTCCAGTTATTCGATTTTCCGGTTTCTTTAATTTTCACTATACCTATAGGTTTTACGATACATTCGTTTTTTTTTATTTTGCCCTTTTTGGATTTTTAAGTTTCTCAATTTTTAATCTTTCAATTTTTTAATTTTCCGCCGCTTCAATTTTTCAAGTTCTTGATTATTTCAAATTTTTAGATTTTTCAAAGTTTTCATTTTATACTTTTTTGTTTTTTCAGTTGTACAGTTTTGCGGTTTTTCCAATTTTTTTTGAGTGGAAAAGTTGAAAATTCAAAAACTGAAAACACGAGAAAGTGAAAATCAAAAAATTGAAAGATCGTAAAATTGAAAAAGTGAAAGAATTTAAATTGAAAAAAGAAAAAATTTAAAAAATCAAAACATTGAAAAATCGAATAATTGAAAAAATAAATTAAGTAAAACCGAAACGTAAAATTACAAATCGAAAAATTGCGTAATCTAAAAATTGGAAAATGTAACATTTCGAAAATCGAAACATTTTAAAAAGAAAACTCGAAAAGCTGCGTGTTAAAAAATTGAAGAAATAAAAAAAGAAAAATGGAAATACATATTGAAAAATTGAAAAATTAAAAATAGAAAACTCGAGAAAATCAAATCGAAAAATTGAAAAGTTCGAGTTGGACATGTGAAAAACTGAAAAATTTAAACTTAAAAACTCAAAAAATTACAAATCGAAGAACTAAAAAAACCAAACACTGAAAAATTTCATATTGAAAAAAAGAAGAATTATAAAAACAGAACATTGAAAAACCCAAAAATTGCAAAATCTAAAAATTGAAACAAATCGAAAAAACGAAAAATTTAAATTCGAAAATTGGAAGAAATAAAAAATTGAATAATCGGAGAATTCCAAAATCTAGAAATTGAAGAAATGATTAAAATGAAAAATTGAAAAAACCAAAAAATTATAACCTCGAAAAACTGAAGAATTTAAAAATGAAAATTCGGAGAGTTGCATGTCAAAAAAAATTGAAGATCAAACAAATTGAAAAATTGCAAATCTAAAAATTAAAGAAACGAAAAATTGAAAAAACAAAAAATTCAAAATTGAAAAATTGCAACGGAAAACGGAAAAAATTAAAATTGTAAAATTGCAAATCTAAAACTTGAAGAAATGAAAAATTGGAAACCCGTGAAATTGCAAATCGAAAAATTGCGTAATCTAAAAATTGAGAAATGTAACATTTGGAAAATCGAAAAATTTTAAAAAGAAAACTCGAAAAGCTGCGTGTCAAAAAATTAAAGAAATAAAAAAAGAAAAAACTGAATTTGAAAAAACAAAAAATCAGAATCGGGACATTGACAAATCGAAGGAACGAATTTTTCGATGTTTGAATGTCCTGATTTTATAAAAAAAAGACAATAAAGAAAATAAAAAGCCGAAACAAAAAATTCCAAATCGAAAAATTGAAGAATCGAAAAGTTGCAAAATCTAAAAATTGAAGAAACGCATAACAGAAAAAATTTAAATTAAAAATGCAAAAAATTATCAAATGGAAATACAATTTGAAAAATTGAAAAATTAAAAATAGAAAACTCGAGAAAATCAAATCGACAAATTGAAAAATTCGAGTTGGACATGTGAAAAACTGAAAAATTTAAACTTAAAAACTCAAAAAATTACAAATCGAAGAACTAAAAAATCCAAACACTGAAAAATTTCATATTGAAAAAAAGAAGAATTATAAAAACAGAACATTGAAAAACCCAAAAATAGCAAAATATAAAAATTGAAACAAATCGAAAAAACGAAAAATTGAATATCGGAGAATTCCAAAATCTAAAAATTGGTCTAAAGAGTTTAGACAGTACTTCCCTCGCTGTCGGAAACTTGACGACTGCATGCCTATTGTGTTTTTTTTCTCATTACATTTTTGTAGTGGGAATTTAAAAAAAAATTGCGATGACGTCATCAACATTTTTGCAAGGACACGTATATCAGTTGGGATAGATGTAGTGTAATACTAAGAATAAAATTATTATATTCTCAAATTTTCGGGAAAATGAATTGGGTCGTTTGAATATTGATTTGTAATAATCAATAAAATAACGAAACAATTTACTCACGTATACCTACGTATCAGAGGCAACTGAAAATCGTGTATGTATAAACATTGTTAATTTAAGATGACAGGCGTAACAGCATACGTGAGAGCCAAACACAGAAACTGTAAACAAAACGACCGTCGGTTTTATTGCTTCGACTTCCGCTTATTATATAAAACATTGGGTTTTATTTTAATTCTTGACGGTGAAATTCACAATTGGTTGATTATAAACATGTCTATTTCACATTCGCGGAATCACGTGAACGCATAAAACAAATGCAGGTCTGTAATGTTAAAGTCGATGTAAATAAGCGTGCTACCCTTATGTTTCAACCGAGTTTTTCCTTTAACAAATTTTGTGTCTACCAAATTGGGTTGGTTGGGGTGTAATACTAATAATAAGTGTTGCCTTTAATTTAATCAATAAAATAAATTGACTTCATTAATTTTTTTGAACCACCTCTTAAGAAAATCTAAAAAATATGAATGGAATGATAAATCACAAGTACAAACTCATCATATTTTTTGCATTTTAGATAGGATTTATTCAGCAAAATTTAAGGGTGACGTCATCAATTTTTTTAGGAGGGATGAACAAATACATTTTGAACAAAAGTTTACCATGCTTATAATAACTTTAAAATATTCCCAAGATTTCAAAGCATTCGGTTTTGTAATTCCTGATTAAATCGATAAAATAAATTCACGCCTTCATTAATTTTTTTGAGTCACCCTGCATATGCAAATCCAAAAATATGAATGGAATGATAAATCACAAGTACAGACTCATCATATTTTGTACATTTTAGATACGAATTATTCGGAAAACTTTTGAGCTGACGTCATCAGTTTTTTGTAGAAGATAACCAAATATATTTTGACTAAAAATTTATTATGCTCTTTATAACCTTAAAACATCTGCAAGATTTCAAAGCATTCGGTTTTGTAGTTCCTGATTAAATCAATAAAATAAATTTACGCATTCATTAATTTTTTTGAGTCACTCTGTATATGCAAATCGAAAAAATATGAATGGAGTGATAAATGACAAGTACAGGCTCATCATATTTTGTACATTTTAGATATGATTTATTCGGCAAACTTTCGAGCTGACGTCATCAAGTTTTTGGAGGGGATAAGCAAATATATTTTGACTAAACATTTATTATGCTCTTTATGACCTTAAAACATCTGCAAGATTTCAGAGCATTCGGTTTTGTAGTTCCTGATTAAATCAATAAAATATATTTACGCATTCATTAATTTTTTTGAGTCACCCTGTATATGCAAATCCAAAAAATATTAATGGAGTGATAGTTCACAAGTACAGACTCATCATATTTTGTACATTTTAGATATGATTTATTCCACAAACTTTTGAGCTGACGTCATCAAGTTTTTGGAGGGGATAAGCAAATATTTTTTGACTAAAGATTTATGATGCTCTTTATAGCCTTAAAACATCTGCAACATTTCAAAGCATTCTGGTTAGCAGATTAAAAATTAAATTTCAAAATGTTGTTTTATAATTTTGATTTTTTTTCCAAAAATCTGGACGTTTCTGGTGAAAAGTCGATTCAGAGTTGTAAACTACATGTGTAGGACTATGTTATTTTATACAATTGAAAACCCATTTACTATGTACAATTTTGAAGTGACGTCATCGCTTTAGTGGTGGGGATGATTCGACAAATTTTGGTTAGCGTTTTACCATCTACATGATATTCTTAATATAAGTACAAAATTTCACAACAATCGGTCGAGTACTTTCGGAGATTATCTGTCTAATAAAAATCCGTGATAACAGACGGACAGACGGACAGACGGACGGACAGACGGACAGACGGACAGACAGACAGACAGACAGACAGACAGACAGACGGAAATGGGAGACCTATTTCTTCGTCTTCTAGGGGTCATGAAAGATCGAGAAAACGTAAAAGTAGAGAGTCGGCCGACGGACTCGATTACAATACTTCCTTTGCTTACGCTCGGGAAGTAAAAATTGAAGAAATCATTAAAATGAAAAATTGAAAAAACAAAAAAATTATAACCTCGAAAAACTGAAGAATTTAAAAATGAAAATTCGGAGAGTTGCATGTCAAAAAAATTGAAGATCAAACAAAATGAAAAATTGAAAAATTGCAAATCTAAAAATTAAAGAAACGAAAAATTGAAAATCAAAATTTGAAGAAATAAAAAATTGAAAAATTCCAAATCGAAAAATTGCAACGGAAAAAATTTAAATTGCAAAATTGCAAATCTAAAAATTGAAGAAACGGAAAATTGAAAAAACTGAACTTGAAAAAACAAAAAATTATAAAATCGAAGTATTGAAAAAATGAAGAATCTAAAAATTGAAGAAATGAAAAATTGAAAAATCGCAAATCAAAAAATTGAAGGAACGAAAAACCGAAAAAATTAAAATTGAATAAAGAAAAAATATACATAACCTAAAAATTGAAATATCCAAAAGTTGGAAAATCGAAAAATTTAAAAATAAAAACTCGAAAACTTGCATGTCAAAAATTGAAATTGAAAAAACGAAAAGTCATAAAAGAAGAAATTTTTTATAGAAAAAATAAAATAAAAAACCGAAACGAAAAATTGTAAATCGAGAACTTGAAGAAATAAAAAATTGAAAAATCGAAAAACTGAAGAATTTAAAAATGAAAATTCGGAGAGTTACATGTCAAAAAAAAATTGAAGATCAAACAAAATGAAAAATCGAAAAATTGAAAAATCAGAAAAACGAAAAATTGAAAATCGAAAATTTGGAGAAATAAAAAATTGAAAAAATTGCAAATCTAAAAATTGAAAAAACTGAACTTGAAAAAACAAAAAATTATAAAATCGAATTATTGAAAAAATGAAGAATCTAAAAATTGAAGAAATGAAAAATTGAAAAATCGCAAATCAAAAAATTGAAGGAACGAAAAACCGAAAAAATTAAAATTGAATAAAGAAAAAATATACATTACCTAAAAATTGAAATATCCAAAAGTTGGAAAATCGAAAAATTTAAAAACAAAAACTCGAAAACTTGCATGTCAAAAATGGAAATTGAAAAAACAAAAAGTCATAAAAGAAGAAATTTTTTATAGAAAAAATAAAATATAAAACCGAAACGAAAAATTGTAAATCGAGAACTTGAAGAAATAAAAAAATTGAAAAATCGAAAAACTGAAGAATTTAAAAATGAAAATTCGGAGAGTTGCATGTCAAAAAAAATTGAAGATCAAAAAAATGAAAAATCGAAAAATTGAAAAATCAAAAAAACGAAAAATTGAAAATCGAAAATTTGAAGAAATAAAAAATTGAAAAATTCCAAATCGAAAAATTGCAACGGAAAACGGAAAAAATTAAAATTGCAAAACTGCAAATCTAAAAATTGAAGAAACGGAAAATTGAACAAACAACTTGAAAAATCAAAAAATTATAAAATCGAAATATTGAAAAAATGAAGAATCTAAAAATTGAAGAAATGAAAAATTGAAAAATGGCAAATCAAAAAATTTAAGGAACGAAAAACCGAAAAAATTAAAATTGAATAAAGAAAAAATATACATAACCTAAAAATTGAAATCTCCAAAGGTTGGAAAATCGAAAAATTTAAAAATAAAAACTCGAAAACTTGCATGTCAAAAATTGAAATTGAAAAAACAAAAAGTCATAAAAGAAGAAATTTTTTATAGAAAAAATAAAATAAAAAACCGAAACGAAAAATTGTAAATCGAGAACTTGAAGAAATAAAAAATTGAAAAATCGGAAAATTACAAAATCTGAAATTGAAGAAACACAAAACTGAAAAAAATTAAATTGAAAAAATAAAAATCGGAAAGTCAAGAAACTCAAATCGAAAAATTGCAAAATCTTGAAATTGTAAAATTCGAGACGGACAATTGAAAAACTGAAAAATTACAAATCGAAAAGTGATTAAACAAAAGAAAAGTGTTATTTACGCCACTGGTTTTTACTTACTAGAGGTTATCAGGAAACAAAATCCCAAAGAATTTTTCAAAAAAGCCAGATTTATAGGGCGGCACTTCAGGGGTGAGGAAAGTTCGTGGGAATAACCTTCGAGCAATTTTTTTCGTTGTATTTGATTTATTGTGTGCCTTTTGCAAACTGCGTGTTTCACGCAAACGCAGTCGCACTTTAACCCCTATTAGGGCTAGTGACTTAAATTAACTGATGGTACTTTTCCGAATGAAGTATTTTAAAATTTTAAATATCGAGTGAGAAGTTATAAATTGTGAATAATAACTTAGGTAAAATCTCTCCTTGAATTAAGCCGGAATAAGTGAATTTCCGCCACGTGAACATTTGTATTCAGGCTTATTAAAGCATCAGGATAGAGGTCGCTGCTCGTAGCTAATAACTAACTTTGTCGCCAGGTGTAAACAAAGAAAACCTAGCCGTGACCGAATACGTAGACCTGACTGACTCCGACGACGACTACGACCCGAAGCGCTCCACCCGACGAAAGAAGCGCCAGCGCAGAAAACGAGTCGAGATAACAATAAGCGACGAAAGCGACACTTCCCACGACAGCGTGATCGAGCTCGACGAGAGCGACGACGAAACCCCCGACGAATCCAAGTCCACCAACAGAACTCCCCCGAAGCGGCGTCGCGGCCGACCCCCCAAGAGCAAACCCGGCGAATCCACGGCGACCGGTGAATCCCCCGCCAAGAAAACCAAGGTCGAGACCGTCGACAACCCGACAAAGCCCGAGATCCCGTGTCCGCAGTGCGACAAAACCTTCCCTAGTCAGAACAGCCTGAAGACACACCTGCAACACCACAACCTCCAGAGCTCCATCAAGCGAGCGCAACCTGAGTACAAGTACAAATGTGACAAATGTGCCACGACTTTTATCAATAGCATTCTACTAAAAAAGCACATGTGTTCAAAACTTTTCAATTGTACGGTGTGTAAGAAGCGGTTCCCCGACCTGTCGAGCTTGAACGGACACAAACGAACACACGCGAAGGAGCAAATGGTGAAGAGCACGACGGTGCAGGTATCACCGAAGAAGATGAAGCAGGCGTTGCCGACGAAGACGTTCGAAGCGCAAAAGACGTCAACAATGAACTGCAAGACGTGCGGGAAGTTGTGTTCATCGTTGCAGAATTTAACCGTGCACATGAAGACGCACAGGGAGTTCGTGTGCGGGACCTGCTTGAAGATCTTCCTCTCGCAGCTGATGCTAGAGAAGCACGTGAGAGAGAGTTGCGTCAAGTCGCCGCAGACCAGTAGGAGGGCGATGCGGGTTAAGGGAGACGCGGGCAAGAGGTTGCAGTTGACGCCTCCGAAAGCAAGGACGACAAGTGTCATTAGTCCCGGGAAGAGGGTCGTGGATAAGCGGGGGATGCTTAATTTGAAGCTAAAGTGTGAGCAGTGCTCAATGTGCTTTAGCAGTCATCGAGAGCTGTTTAAGCATAAGGTGCTGAAGCATGGGCTCGAGACGCCGGATAAGTCCGTTTTGAAAAAAGAGGAGACCCAGCGGGTGTACAAAGGGGGTGTTCCTGCCGGCGAGAAGTTGCTTAAGAGTTTTGCCGGATTGAGAAGTTTGTTCACGGTTAATGATTAATTTTGGTATTTTGTAGGTTCTGTAAATAGAATACTTGTGTATTTTAATAAATTTTTTCCACTAGAGGTCTATAATCTGGAAAATTGTGAACCTTTTTCAATAATGTAAACGTGAAGTTGGCCACCTAATGTGACAACTGTCATCAACTGTCAGAAAAAATGAGACATAACCTGAAAACGATCATTTTGGAAAATTTGCTTTTAAATTATGCCCTGGAATGATTTCCAAACCCTGAATTGATTATTCTCGGTGTAATTGAGGATAAATTGATGAAGTTGATGGGAGTGAAACTGACTCATGGTTCCGATTTGGTTTGACTTGATTTGTCGTAGATGTTTTTACATTTTCAAAAAAAGACAGTTGGGGCCTCAGAGAAGGTTTCACATTTTTACAAAAAGACGTTTGGCGCCCTCGAGAAGGTTTTACATTAAAAAAAAATACATTTTGAATCCCCGAGAAGGTTTTTACATTTTCAAAAAAAGACAGTTGGGGGCCCTGAGAAGGATTTAAATTCTTAAAAAAAATACATTAGAGCCACCGAGAAGGTTTTGCATTTTTAAAAAAGACAGTTGGGGCCCCCGAGAAGGTTTTACATTAAAAAAACAGACATTTGCGGACCCCGAGAAGGTTAAACATTTTTAAAAAAGACATTTGAGAGCCCCGAGAAGGTTTCACATTAAAAAACAAAGACGTTTGGCGCCCTCGAGAAGGTTTTGCATAAAAAAATGCATTTGGGACCCCCGAGAAGGTTTAGCATAAAAAAAATGTATTTGGGACCCCCGAGAAGGTTTCACATTAAAAAAGGACATTTGGAGCCTTCGAGACGGGTTTTACATTTTCAAAAAAAGACAGTTGGGGCCTCTGAGAAGGATTTAAATTCTTTAAAAAAATACATTAGAGCCCCCGAGAAGGTTTTGCATTTTTAAAAAAGACAGTTGGGGCCCCCGAGAAGGTTTTACATTAAAAAAACAGACATTTGCGGACCCCGAGAAGGTTTTACATTTTTAAAAAAGACAGTTGAGAGCCCCGAGAAGGTTTCACATTAAAAAACAAAGACATTTGGAGCCCCCGAGAAGGTTTTTACATTTTCAATAAAAGACAGTTGGGCCCTCTGAGAAGGTTTCACATTCTTATAAAAAGACGTTTGGCGCCCTCGAGAAGGTTTTGCATAAAAAAATGCATTTGGGACCCCCGAGAAGGTTTAGCATAAAAAAAAATGTATTTGGGACCCCCGAGAAGGTTTCACATTAAAAAAGGACATTTGGAGCCCCCGAGACGGTTTTTACATTTTCAAAAAAAGACAGTTGGGGCTTCTGAGAAGGTTTCACATTCTTACAAAAAGACATTTGGGCCCTCGAGAAGGTTTTACATAAAAAAAAATACATTTGGAACCCCCGAGAAGGTTTTTACATTTTCAAAAAAAGACAGTTGGGGCCCCTAAGGAGGATTTAAATTCTTAAAAAAAAATACATTAGAGCCACCGAGAAGGTTTTGCATTTTTAAAAAAGACAGTTGGGGCCCCCGAGAAGATTTTACATTTTTAAAAAAGACAGTTGAGAGCTCCGAGAAGGTTTCACATTAAAAAACAAGGACATTTGGAGCCCCCGAGAAGGTTTTTACATTTTCAAAAAAAGACAGTTGGGCCCTCTGAGAAGGTTTCACATTCTTACAAAAAGACGTTTGGCGCCCCCGAGAAGGTTTTGCATAAAAAAAAATGCATTTGGGGCCCCCGAGAAGGTTTAGCATAAAAAAAAATGTATTTGGGACCCCCGAGAAGGTTTCACATTAAAAAAGGACATTTGGAGCCCCCGAGACGGTTTTTACATTTTCAAAAAAAGACAGTTGGGGCCTCTGAGAAGGTTTCAGATTCTTACAAAAAGACATTTGGGCCCTCGAGAAGGTTTTCCATTAAAAAAAATACATTTGGAACCCCCGAGAAGGTTTTTACATTTTCAAAAAAAGACAGTTGGGCCCTCTGAGAAGGTTTCACATTCTTACAAAAAGACGTTTGGCGCCCTCGAGAAGGCTTTTACATTTTCAAAAAAATTGGTCTAAAGAGTTTAGACAGTACTTCCCTCGCTGTCGGAAACTTGACGACTGCATGCCTATTGTGTTTTTTCTCATTACATTTTTGTAGTGGGAATTTAAAAAAAAATTGCGATGACGTCATCAACATTTTTGCAAGGACACGTATATCAGTTTGGGATAGATGTAGTGTAATACTAAGAATAAAATTATTATATTCTCAAATTTTCAGGAAAATGAATTGGGTCGTTTTGAATATTGATTTGTAATAATCAATAAAATAACGAAACAATTTACTCACGTATACGTATCCCAGGCAGCTGAAAATCGTGTATGTATAAACATTCTTAATTTAAGATGACAGGCGTAACAGCATACTTGAGAGTCAAACAGAGAAACTGTAAACAAAACGACCATCGGTTTTATTGCTTCGACTTCCGCTTATTATATAAAACATTGGGTTTTATTTTAATTCTTGACGGTGAAATTCACAATTGGTTGATTATAAACATGTCTATTTCACATTCGCGGAACCAAGTGAGCGCATAAAACAATGCAGGTCTGTAATGTTAAAGTCGATGTAAATAAGCGTGCTACCCTTATGTTTCAACCGAATTTTTCCTTTAACAAATTTTGTGTCTACCAAATTGGGTTGGTTGGGGTGTAGTACTAATAATAAGTGTTGTCTTTAATTTAATCAATAAAATAAATTGACTTCATTAATTTTTTTGAACCACCTCTTAAGAAAATCTAAAAAATATGAATGGAATGATAAATCACAAGTACAAACTCATCATATTTTTTGCATTTTAGATAGGATTTATTCAGCAAAATTTAAGGGTGACGTCATCAATTTTTTTAGGAGGGATGAACAAATACATTTTGAACAAAAGTTTACCATGCTTATAATAACTTTAAAATATTCCCAAGATTTCAAAGCATTCGGTTTTGTAATTCCTGATTAAATCGATAAAATAAATTCACGCCTTCATTAATTTTTTTGAGTCACCCTGCATATGCAAATCCAAAAATATGAATGGAATGATAAATCACAAGTACAGACTCATCATATTTTGTACATTTTAGATACGATTTATACAGCAAACTTTTGAGCTGACGTCATCAGTTTTTTGTAGAAGATAACCAAATATATTTTGACTAAAAATTTATTATGCTCTTTATAACCTTAAAACATCTGCAAGATTTCAAAGCATTCGGTTTTGTAGTTCCTGATTAAATCAATAAAATAAATTTACGCATTCATTAATTTTTTTGAGTCACCCTGTATATGCAAATCGAAAAAATTTGAATGGAATGATAAATCACAAGAAGAGACTCACCATATTTTGTACATCTTAGATAGGATTTATTCAGCAAAATTTTGTGGTGACGTCATAAATTTTTTAGGGGGGACGACCAAATACGTTTTGATCAAAAATTTACCATGCTTATGATAATTTTAAAATATCTTCAAGATTTCGAAGCATTCGGTTTTGTAGTTCCTGAGTAAATCAGTAAAATAAATTTACGCTTTCATTTATTTTCTTGAATGACCCTGTATATGCAAATCCAAAAAATATGAATGGAGTGATAGATCACAAGTACAGACTGATCATATTTTGTACATTTTAGATATGATTTATTCGGCAAATTTTCGAGCTGACGTCATCAAGTTTTTGGAGGGGAGAAGCAAATATATTTTGACTAAACATTTATTATGCTCTTTATAACTTTAAAACATCTGCAAGATGTCAGAGCATTCCGTTTTGTAGTTCCTGATTAAATCAATAAAATATATTTACGCATTCATTAATTTTTTTGAGTCACTCTGTATATGCAAATCCAAAAAATATGAATGGAGTGATAAATTACAAGTACAGACTCATCATATTTTGTACAGTTTAGATAGGATTTATTCGGCAAACTTTTGAGCTGACGTCATCAATTTTTTGGAGGGGATAAGCAAATGTATTTTGACTAAACATTTATTATGCTCTTTATAACCTTAAAACATCTTCAAGATTTCAAAGCATTCGGTTTTGTAGTTCCTGAGTAAATCAGTAAAATAAATTTACGCTTTCATTAATTTTATTGAATCACCCTGTATATATGCAAATCCAAAAAATATGAATGGAGTGATAGATGACAAGTACAGACTGATCATATTTTGTACATTTTAGATATGATTTATTCGGCAAACTTTCGAGCTGACGTCATCAAGTTTTTGGAGGGTATAAGCAAATATATTTTGACTAAACATTTATTATGCTCTTTATGACCTTAAAACATCTGCAAGATTTCAGAGCATTCGGTTTCGTAGTTCCTGATTAAATCAATAAAATATATTTACGCATTCATTAATTTTTTTGAGTCACCCTGTATATGCAAATCCAAAAAATATGAATGGAGTGATAAATTACAAGTACAGACTCATCATATTTTGTACAGTTTAGATAGGATTTATTCGGAAAACTTTCGAGCTGACGTCATCAATTTTTTGGAGGGGATAAGCAAATATATTTTGAGTAAAGATTTATGATGCTCTTTATAGCCTTAAAACATCTGCAACATTTCAAAACATTCGGATTAGCAGATTCAAAATTAAATTGCAAAATGTTGTTTTATAATTTTGATTTTTTTTCCAAAAATCTGGACGTTTCGGGTAAAAACTCAATTCGGAGTCGTAAACTACATGTTTAGGACTATATTATTTTATACAATTTAAAACCCATTTACTATGTACAATTTTGAAGTGACGTCATCACATTAGTGGTGGGGATGATTAGACAAATTTTGGTTAGCGTTTTACCATCTACATGATATTCCTAATATAACTACAAAATTTCACAACAATCGGTCCAGTACTTTTTTTTTACAGGTGTCAGCTAGATAATTTGATCATTACCTAGCTGACACCTGTCTAGATATTTAATCCATTTTTCTGTACAAACTGTTTGGTTAGTTTTATTTTCTTGTAAATCTAAGGTTAAGTGGAATAGCCTATGGCTAGACTTCGCCTATTATTATTTAATAAAGTCCTATTATTATTATTATTATTATTAATATTATTATTACTTTCGGAGATTATCTGTCTAATAAAAATCCGGGACGGCAGACAGACGGACAGACGGACAGACAGACGGAAATGGGAGACCTATTTCTTCGTCTTCTAGGGGTCATGAAAGATCGAGAAAACGTAAAAGTAGAGAGTCGGCCGACGGACTCGATTACAATACTTCCTTTGCTTACGCTCGGTAAGTAAAAATACAGTGAGAACCCCCGAGAAGGTTTCACATTTTTAAAAGACATTTGCGCCCTCGAGAAGATTTACATTTTTAAAAGACAGTTGGAACCCCCCAGAAGGTTTTACCTTTTTAAAAAAATACATTTGGATCCCCCGAGAAGGTTTTACGTTTTTAAAAAATTGGTCGAAAGTTGTTTCGACAGAACTTTCCTCGCTCCTGAAGTACTTGAAACATATGCAGCATTCTCGAGTGTTTATTTATGTTTATACACGAAAGAATGTCACGTAGAAATTAGCTTGATTTGAATTAAACCACAATCGAACCAAATGTTCTGAATATTATCATTCTTATTTTATCATTATTATTATTATAAAGACGTGTTTTTCACATTTTCGAGGAAGAGGGGTGACTCCTCCTTAATTTAACCAATAAAAAATTTGGAATGAGGTCATCAACATGGATAATACTAGGAAAAGTAGTCGCAGCGTAATATCAATGCAAGAAAAAAAAGCGGATTCATACACTACAAGTATAGGAGTATATTTTTATATAACTTTGAAATTAGGTATTTTAAAATACAATTCAATGAAATTGTTGGTGACTACTTTTTTCGGGGTCGTGAAACATCGAGAAAACATAAAAGTGGCACTTCGTCCGATGGACTCGATTACTACACTTCCTTAGCCTACGCTGGGAAAGTAAAAATCATCTAAAATGCGAGCGTAGTGAGCACGTTCAGGATATTTCAGTACCACAGGCATTCGTAATCACAAACAATTTTTAAACTCGCATTTTTAAATAACAACAAAATTGTTTTTAATAATTTAGCTTCTCAGGGAGACCAATGTATGTATATTTTTTAAATACACCTGAACGTGCTCGCTGCGCTCGCAATTTAGACTTCTTTTTTTTTCAGCTTTATTCTCATAGAAGTGCAGGAAAAAGTCTCAGGGAAGCTGTTTGGCTTTCACTGTAACAATAAATCTCTACACTTAAAAAAAGACTACAAAAAAGACGACGGAAAGACAAAAAATTTTGTCACTGAAAAAGGGGAATCAAAAAGTGACAAAAAACAACAAAGCATCAAAAAAGCACAAAAAGACAAAAAAAAGTCGAAAGCAACAAAAAACAACATAAAATATTCGGAAAACAAAAAGGCACCAAGAAATTATAAAAATGAACAAAAAAAAGGACATAAAAAATATGTCAAAAAAAAAGGAAAAAAATGGACAAAAAGACGCCAAAAACGGAGCTAAAAAGCGACACAAAAAGGAGACTCGACCGACAAAAAAAAACAAAACAAAAACGGCCAAAAGATGCAAAAAAAGATGACGACTTAGAAAAAAGGAGCTTCTCGGGGCTACTGACGAGTGATTTTTGATAACGCCTAAACGTGCTCGCTGCGCTCGCGTTCATATTATATTACGGATCGTGAAGCTAAATTACTCTGAAAAAATTAAATTCGAGAGTGCAGGAGAATTTTTTTGTGTAAGTATATAAGTTGTCTAAAAAAAAATTTATGAATCAGTTAACTTTATTGATTAATTTTGATCAAAATTATCACCCCTCTAAGACTACCGCTGTAAACCTGAGCGACGAAACTTTTAAAGTTCTCGAATGATTGGAACTGGTTTGCTGTTATTATTATTATTATTTGTTCCTTATACCGGGTGTCTGGAGAATGGCGAATTAACTCTTCGCTATGCTCTTAACAATCAACTGGTGAGTTTGGGAAAAATAGTAAAAAAATTCCTCCTCACATTTTGGTGGAGTTGTAGTGATTTTAAAATTGGTTCATTTGCTACGTTTAACAATTTGCCAAAATCGGTCTTATTTTAGCAGATAGTAGCCCCGCCCACCCACCCTCTCTTTTCTTAGAGGGTACCTGATTTGCCAAAATCAGTCTTATCTTGGCAGAAAACCTTATAACTTTGAAACTAAATCTTTGAAAGCATGATAAAACAAGCATTAAAAAAATCTAAAACAAAAATATACCAAAACTCAAAATTGAACAACATTTAATTTGAATCTGGAAAACCGAATGTTTTGAAATCTTTCAGATGTTTTAAAGTTATGATAATCGTGATAAATTTTTAATCAAAACATATAAAATTAGTTTTTTTCTAGTTTTATGAGCAAGCAGTAACCTCGCCCACCCACCCGTTTTTTTCTTAGAGGACATGTCATTTACCAAAGTCAATCTTATTTTAATAAATACTAGCTATGTCCAGTCGCTCTCTATTTTCTTAGGGGGTATGTAATTTGCCACAATCATGGATATGATTGACTCTCTACTTGTACGTTTTCTCGACCTTTCATGACTCCTACAGGACGAAGAAATAGGTCTCCCGTTTCTGTCTGTCTGTCTGTCCGACTGTCCGTCTGTCGGCCGTCACGGATTTTTATTAGACAGATAATCTCCGAAAGTACTGGGCCGATTGTTGTCAAATTTTGTATTTGTATTACGAATATTGAATATATTGAAACAATTGAACCTGCAAAACCGATTGATGACGTCAGCTCAAAATTCTTTTGTGACAAATCAGGTTCAATATTATAAATACATAGTACATTAAGAAAGTAACAATCGTTATAAAACTTTGATCAGTTAAAAAGTGATTTAAATTTCGCGCCACAATAGATCATACTTGAAAGTTCTGTACTTGACAGCGCCGCTAATGCTACCAATCCACAGAACCAAAAACCCCACTATTTCCAATTTGATTATCACGAACTACGTGAATAACAGGAATAATTTAGCAATGATTTCATCATCACTTACGCTATAGATATTTACAGAATCACTTATATACCAGTTAGACCACAAAGCGCCTCTTTAACAACCCCATTATTCCAAGTCCAATAAAACCCACCAAAATAGAAAAACAACACCACGTGAGTAATCTTATTTACCCGAACCCAAAAAAATAGAATCGTCTATAAGATAAGTAGATAACACGAAATCTGGTCCCCGCGCAGCCGCAGTCAGCCTCAGGAAGGGGATTTTTTGACGCCTCGTCTTTCCCCTTGGACCGCCTCCGACAGTCCAAGAACTATCATGGGGAATAACCTATTTCTGTGGTAGTGACGCAAAAGCAAGAGGTAAGTGTCACATTCAACCATTATCCCCCACAACACAGCCCCGTTTGCACCGAAATCCTTCAGAGAAAGTTTTTTCCTCGTCCCGTTTCCGTTTTATAGGTTAGAATGTTAACCGAAAATATAAATTTATACATCCAACAGCCCGTGCAAATCGGTAAGCCGTCGCCCACTTCCATATTTTTTGAGTTGGCAGTGTTGTAATGTCGTTTTTGTTGCAGATATGAGTTCGTACCCAAATATATTGACGCCCCCTTCGAGCAGTGAAGACTCGCCCCAGTCGACTTTGTATAATTCGCCGCCGTCGTGTTATGGTATCCAGGATAGTGCGTATATTTTGCCGCAGACGTCACTAGCGTTTGATTTCGATGGGGCCACGCAAGCGACAGCACCGTATTTGCGGATTGTGGAGCAACCCATTGATAGGTTTCGGTTTCGGTACAAATCTGAGATGACAGGGACCCATGGAAGTCTGTGTGGACAGACTTCTGATAGGAGCAGAAAGCAAACCTACCCCACAATTGAAGTAAATTTAGTTGGTTGAATTTTCCATAACTCAAGGAAATTTTGTAGTTGTGTAATTTTAACAAGAGGGCGCTGGTTAGGTGTTCTATTTATCAACATAACACTAAAGAGGATCACAGGCCACACGCCCACCGGTTAATTAAGAAACAAGGAAAGGGCGAAGTGGATGACCCTCATGACGCTTACGTCACTCCAGAGGAAGGTTACACCTATGTGTATGTAAACACTTGGAATTTGTTTTTTTTTTAATTAATTTGATATTTTTTTATGTAGCTTCCACAGTATGGGTATTATCCACACAGCTAAGAAGAACCTAGTCCCTGAACTGATAAGGAAGAAGGGTCAATTAAAAAAGGAAGAAATCGCCAGACTTGAAGGAAAAGTGCGGGATTTGACCCAGAAGGAAGAAATAGAGGTATGTGTTTTTTTGAAATATGCGTAATTTGGTACTTTCCTGGAGATAACTTTATCTCTGGAGTGGTTCCACCACTTGTGATAAAACCTTATCACTAATGTAATGTAAAATGTACTCAATCAAACTGTGGGGTTTTACTGTATTATAACAGCGAAGGACGTACTGTTGATTATGCAACCAACATTGCACTTATCCATACTTTGGAAATAATTGCATCTTTATGTTAGGTATCCATTGGGCTCAAAATACATTTTATTATTTGTTTTGTCATTAAAGATTACAATTTTATTTGTTCAGACATTTTCACTTATCACGTTTTGGACTTATACTTGTTTCAAATTTAAACAAAATTTAAGCATGTTTTTCCTTGTATTTTGATAAGAGGCCATAAAACCGCGTGCGTTTACAAGGTTTTGTTTTATAATTCTTCGAAGTCAAAGTTCTGAATTCCCCATTCGTCACCTGCTTGTTTACGAACTGATTTCACTAAAGGTTAGAACGTTGCATCTCAGTTGATAACCGCAAACTTGCTGGTGTGAGTCATGCTTAAGTTACAAATCTCGCGCCAGAAAAAATCTCCAATCCCAATTCGCGACCAATCAAACCGCCTTCTGGTTTTCACGTTGACCAATACCGAGCGACCACATCTGTCAATTGTCAAACAAGCTGGGGGCGCATCGGAGGAAATTTGTGAAATTTTGCGCTGTTTACAGAACAGAAGTTCTTGGTAATAACACATTTAAGGTAACATTAGATTAATTGTTAACTTTTATTTGAAACCATCTTCCGTTTCACTATTTTTCAAACTTTATTTATCGTGTTGTGATTTGTATCAAATTAAGTAAGTTATCAGATATCACTACTTCACGAGGAAACGGTGAGAATGCATTGTTGCGCAATGATATCAATGATAACACGATCTCACACAAACGTTACTGTTACGCCCAATAAATTTAGTTTTTGTTAGTTTAAGGTAGATTTCCACGATGGGTGGTTACTCGTGCGATAAGTGTGCAAAAGGTACGTTTTTCGCTTCATTCTGTCCACCTTCCCCATTAACACTAAACATATGTGGATATCTTCTTTTAAGAACCCCAACAGTGTAGACGAGTCGAAGCTATCTGCAATGTGTTTAACCCTTTTCTTTATTTCAGATTAAGGGATTGGCTGAATCTGAAAGCAAATCCATTAATCTGAATGTGGTGTGTTTGCGATTTGACGCATTTTACGAAACCAATGGTATTCTACTACCAATATGTCCGCCGGTGTACTCGCATTCCATCAATAACTTGAGTAAGTAGAATTTATTTATCTATGGGTGATTGCGACTTTCGGACCCAAGTGGCTACACTTAATCTTGGAGTGGTTTTGATTGGTTTTAATTTTTAGAAAGTGCGTTAACAGGCGAACTGAAAATCGTACGAATGGACCATTGCACAAGTCCCGCTAAAGGTGGGCGGGAAATATTTATTTTGGTAGAACGCGTGACCAAAAGTAAGTAGTTGAAACGGCGTTACAAACGACTAAAATTGCGCTTTATTGACAGAAAATATTAAAGTAAAATTTTACGAATTGGATGATGAGGATAACATTGTTTGGGAGGACTATGGCAAGTTTAGTGACCTTGACGTGCACCACCAATACGCAATTGTGTTTAAGTATGTTTTATGAAATAAGAACGAAACAAGTGTAATTGGCGCCATTTTACAGAACCCCTCCGTACAAAGATTTGACTATTAAAAGCCCCGTCAAGGTTTTTATTGAACTGGAACGGCCGTCTGATCGAGCTCGCAGCGAAGCCAAAGAGTTCACTTACACCGTGAGCTCCAATATTTATAAACCGGGATCAAAAAGAGCGCGACCGAGTTATGATAGCTCCAGCTATGATACGTCGCTGGCTAGCGATGAACTTCCAGTACCTATTAATAACCTATGTCTTGAAAACTCCCCCACAGGTTTGCTAGACGACGTTCAGCTAGAAGTCACCAGCGCTGAGTTGCAGCAAGCAATGAGAAATATCAACTCTGACGAGTTTCAGAGGATATTTAACGATTTCGGACAGGACTATTCATTGGCCACAGACGCACCCAATGAGTTTAAAAAGTCAGTTATCAAGAGCCGGGTTGTGACTTCTACCAAAACTAGGTAGTTTTTGATTTAATTATTATAATTTTCTGTATATGCGTACTGTAGTAATTTTAGGAGCGCTAAATCGCGTCCGTATTGCCAAAGATCCGACAGCATTGAGGAAACCGCGATGGCGAAACAAGCAGTCCTCGAACTACAAAATTTCATCAAAACCCACCCCAGTGACGAAAAAGCCGTGAACATGTTGTGCCACTACCTCAAAGAAGACAACAAAACGAAGTAATATTTATAAATTGTGTTGTTGTATTTTTTGTAATTGTTTTCTCAGTGCTTTGCACGTCTCCATCCGTCAGAACGAACTCATGGACGTGATGTTCTTGCTGAAGATGATCTACGTTTGGAAGCAACACGAGCTTTTGAATGTACGCAGCGACCTCTATGAAACCCCGCTCCACATCGCTACGTATCTCAATTCTGAGGAGATCGTGGCTAATTTGATTGTGTGTAAAGCTAGCGTGTGTGTGGGTGATTCCGAAATGAACACTCCGCTGCACGTGGCGGTGATCTCAAATGCTTCCATTGCGATTTTTGAGAAGTTGTTTTCGTCGGAGGATAAGACTTTCGTGGATATGGAGAACAACGGTAGTGAGAATAATTGGTTGAATTGCGTGAATTAATTGTCGGTTTTAGAGGGTAACACGGCGTTGAACATCGCTATAGAGAATGGTAACCTGAAAGCGCTCAAACTTCTGTGTTTAAACGGCGCTGATATTAATAAACAGCACAAGAAGAATGGGTACACTCCACTGAGATTTGCGATAGAAAAGCAGAATGTGGATATTGTAAAGTATATTTTGCAGCATAAGGATCTGCAGGCGTTGGTTGAGGATTTCCAGGATATTAATCCGTTGCAGGCCGCCATCAATAAGGATAATTCCGAGTTGGTGGATGTTATTACACAGTACATGGTATTTGTTTACATTGTTGAAGCGACTTTCGTTTGATTGATTATTTACAGAAACAAAACAACTACGTCAATGTCGAGATCAAGAACGAAGTTGAGGATTATTCAGACGACGATTTCGAAGAAAAGTTCTCAATTAAGTTGGAGCAGATATCTTCAGAGGAGTTGCGCGAGATGTACACGAACGTCAAGAATTTCACACCGGCTTGTCTGGACGACATTTCCCAAATTCTGGATCAGTCGGGGACGTGGCAGAATTTGGCCGATTTGTTGGATTTGGGACATTTGATGAGGTCGGGATTGTGCGATTCCAAGAATAGTCCGACGAAGTTGTTGTTGAAGCTGGCGATTGAGGTTTGTACGACGAATAATAATACCGTCAAGTGACATTGTTGACATTTAGCTGTCAAATTGTGCGCCATCTTTAGACTACTAAGAAAAGGTTCTTTCATTTTCCGACTTTTTCGAAAATTATTGAGTTATGTATACAGAGTGATTATAAAAATTGTACGTCAAGTTGCTTCTAAAAATCTATTTGAGCTGAACTATTAGTTGCGTAGCTATCGAGCAGCAAAAAAACTCAAGAAAGTTAGGTTATGAGTGACATTCGTGGTATTCTAACACACGGCTGTTCTAAAATAAAAAATTCACAAGCAGCTCTAGAGTACGGAATAATAAATAGGTAAATTATCTGATTACCCCCACCAACGATGTACAATAGTAAATTGTTGAGTTTTTACCGAGTTGTATACCGGGTGTATGTAAAATGGCGGATTAACTCTGCAGTACGTTATGTACAGGGGTTTCGGGAGTCCCAAAAAAATAATACAAAAATCTTTGTGATGTAGAATATGAAAAAAACGTAATTTTATAAAAGTAAAATTGGCAACACTGCACGCACCTAATGCATGCGTACCTCCAGCTGTCTTTCTGATTTCTTAGTAACGATGGTGACTGAAATCCACCTTTTATTTATTTTTTTTTATTAATAAATGAACCAAAAATATTTTTAATAAGACATTTATAAATTATAAACAAAAACAACTAAAAAAAATCCATTATAGCATAACCAACTAAACACTAGAGAAAATGTTCAAAATTCCCGCCTTATACATATAAGTAAGCTCGTAATGTTTCCAAATTTTGATCATTTTTTGTAAAAGTTAGTCATCAATATTTGCTAAGATACTCTCTACAGGGTTGCCACTTTTCTGAAAAACCTGGAAATGTCAGGGAATTTAGAAATTTTGAAAATATTGTTATTTCAAGTTTTCAAGTCACATACCTATAAAAATTAAATCATGGAATATTGTGGTTTTGGTCAGAGAAAACCTGGAAAAGTCGGGGAATTCTAAATAAGTCAGTGGCAACCCTGCTCTAAGAAAAGAGAGGGAGGGTGGGCGGGGCTAGTAGCTGTTAAGATAAGACTGATTTTAGCAAATGACGTATCCTGTAAGAAATTTAATTCAATTATTATAAGAAAAGACACTAGAGGCTCCAAAGCACTTTCAAATTCTTTCCATATAGGAATGCCTAGAACCTCAAGATTGTTTAAATTTTTCAAAAAAAAAGTGGGGTCCCAAAATTAACTCAAAAACAGCTCAGGTCAATAGAACACCCAACTTCCCGAAAATTGTGTTAATAAAAACAAAAAACATTCCTGCACTTGTGATTTATGAATCCGCTTTGAGTTTTTATCCCTGATATCCGGACGTTTGGAATAAAATCAAAATTCTACGTTATCGCCGCCATCTTGAAACTTTTCCAATAGAATTATCATTGTCGCTGTTGAAAGCTCTTATTTGTTGCTATTTCTTAATCAAAAGTGATTATGTACTTCAGATTATTACTTACATACAGGGTGAGTCACTAAACGCGTGGTCCTCAATATAAAAGATTCAAGTTACATACATGGAACTAAATATGTATACTAGTTTTATTTTTGAAATTTCGATGCCATGTTATTCCAGTCGTCTTGATTTTTAAATGTGTAAAATATGATGTTTGATTTTCTTGTACAGGGTGTCTCAAAAAATTAATGACTGAGTCAATTTATTCTATTGATTAAATCAAGAATTGCAAGACTGAATACTTTGAAATCTTACAGACGTTTTCAAATTATTGTAAGCATGGTAAATTGTTAATCAAAATATATTCATTTATTCCCCCCAAAAATTTGATGACGTCACGTCAAAATTTCGCCGAATAAATTCTACCCAAAATGTGCAAAAATATGAGTTTTTACTTGTGATTTATGATTGCATTAATATTTTTTAGATTTGCTTAAACAGGTGGCTCAAAAAAATTCATGAATGAGTCAATTTATTTTGTTGATTAAATCAGGAACGGCTCACTCCACTTTCCCAGAAAAATTTGGGAATACAATACTGTTATTTTTCAGTTACCATTTTGCAGTAAATAAAATAAGTCAATGGGCGGGGCTAAATTTAGCCTTTTCTAGTTTTGTAGCCCCGCCCACCTACCCCTTCTTTGTTCCAGCGACTATTAATATTGTTCAGTCCTATCTTAGCGAGTTTTAGCCCCGCCCATCCACCCTTTTTTTTTCTTAGAGGACGTCATTTACCAAAATCAATCTTATTTCAATAAGTACTAGCCCCGCCCACCCGCCCTTTGTTTTCTTAGAGGGTATGTCGTTTGCCACAATCAGTCTTACCTTAGCAAGTACTAGCCCCTTCCACCCACCCCGTCTTTGTTCCAGTGACTACTCTTAATATTCAGTTCAGTTCTATCTTAGCAAATTTTAGTCCCGCCCACCCACCTTTTTTATCCTTAGAGGATATATCATTTACCAAAATCAGTTTTATCTTAATAAGTACTAGCCCCGCCCATCTGCCCTCTATTTTCTTAGAGGGTATGTCATTTACCAATAAGTTGTAGCAATCAAATACAAGGTGTTTTATTTGAAAAAAATATAAATTCACACTCGGTATTATAGTAAGATTCAGTTTAATTTACACCACAATAAAGCACATATATATATTTTATCTGTGCCGAATGAAAAGTGTAACTGATACTGAAGAGGAACAAAATTTGTCGTTGGAATGAGAAGAGGGCGGGTGGGTGGGGCTAATATTTGCCAAGGTAAGATTGTTTTAGTAAATGATATGTCCTCCAATAAGAAAATAATGGGTGGGCGGGGCTACTATTTCTTTATAAGACTCAGTAGAAAAGCTAACATTTAAGCCCCGCCCACCACCCGTTCTCTCATTTGTTTCTTCTGAAGTACGAAATAATTCTTATAGCAAATAGTGCAACAAAAAAAGTTACGATTTGAGCTTTTTTTACATTTTTACAGCCTAGATTCTATTAGATCCCATCCCATTCCCACTCTCCAGATGCACAAATAATTAACCCCGCCCACCCACCCGCCTCCATTTCAGTGATTAATTTTATCTGCTCCGAATGAAAGGTGTAACTCATACTGAAGAGAAACAAAATTTGTCGTTGGAATGAGAAGAGGGCGGGTGGGTGGGGCTAATACTTGCCAAGATAAGATTGTTTTAGTAAATGATATGCCCTCCAATAAGAAAATAATGGGTGGGCGGAGCTACTATTTCTTTATAAGACTCTGTAGAAAAGCTAATATTTAAGCCCCGCCCACCCACCCGTTCTCTCATTTGTTTCTTCTGAAGTACGAAATAATTCTTATAGCAAATAGTACAACAAAAAAAGTTACGATTTGAGCTTTTTTTACATTTTTACAGCCTAGATTCTATTAGATCCTATTCCCACTCTCCAGAGGAACAAATAATAATTAACCCCACCTTTGTTTATCTTTTGCATTGCCAAAAAATCTCAAAAATTGGAATAACGTGGCAACGTCGCATCAGGATTTCAAACGTAGACTACGGTTTTAACAGGCGAAATAAGAATATGTAAAAATATATTGGGAAAAAGTCAAGAAAGTTGGGTTATGATTGACATGAGGAATCATAAACTCATAAACCATCAAACCAAGCGGCAAAATTTACACAATACCAAAGAAAGCCAACTTGATGTACAATATAATGAAATTGTAACAAAAAATGAAAGTCAGCTTTACAATGCACAAATTTTCAGTGCTATGTGGGTGTGTAATTGTCCCATAACCTATCTTTTTTTTTCTTTCCAGACCAACGGCGATTCAGTGCTACAAATCCGGGATTTCTTGGAAAATCTCGACGAGACCCAGGCTGTCGAAATCATAGACAACATGGTCAGAACGCAGTTTATGTAATAAGTTTTTTTATATAAATAAGTTTTCATAATGTATTACGTTTTTTCATTGTTTATAAGTTGGTTAATTTTAAGAATAGTTTATATTTCTAATACCAATCAGATTTGTAAATAACTAAATACAATAAAACGCAGTTACGTAATTTGTTTTTAATTTGTTACCAAGCGGCGGCGCAGGCTGGACAATTCATGGACAGAAAATCCCCAAAAGTAAAAATAACCACAACTTGATAAAAAGAGTCAGAGGTGAGAAAAATAAAAGTTATCAATCAAGTTAAACTTTTCCACTTGGAAACAGTTCTTCAAAGCAAGATGACTTCCGAAAATTTGATTAAATACACCCAGGTACAGGTAGTACGACGCTAACGCCAGTCATTATTTGTTTGTTTTAGTTATTTATAAACAACGAGTTCGTCGACTCTGTAAACAAAAAGACATTCCCGACTTTGAACCCGGCAAGTGGCCAAAAAATCGCTGATGTGGCCGAAGCAGAAAAGGTAACACTATCAAAGTAAAAAAAATAGAAGCACCAAAGTTTTTCATTTTAGGAAGACGTCAACAAGGCAGTAGACGCCGCAAAAGCCGCCTTTTCGCGAAATTCGGAATGGAGAAAACTGGACGCGTCCGCCAGGGGTCGACTCATCAACAAAGTACTGTAGCGCGCCAAATTCAAACCACTTTTAAAAAACACACATAAATATTCCAGCTTGCTGATTTGCTTGAAAGGGACATCACCCAGCTCGCGAAATTGGAAACTTTGGATAATGGGAAACCCGTTGGTGACTCGGAGTTTGATATCCAGTGCAGTATCGACACCTTGCGGTACTACGCCGGGTACAGCGACAAAATCCACGGGAACACAATCCCAGCTGGTACTATTGTACAAGTACTTTCTTTTTTTTTTTAATTTTATGATTCCATGTAGATGGCGACTGCATTTCTTTGACGCGGAAGGAACCAGTGGGTGTGGTCGGTCAAATCATACCATGGAACTACCCCATCATGATGCTAGCATGGAAGTGGGGTCCCGCTCTGGCCGCTGGTTGTACCATGGTACTAAAACCAGCCGAGCAAACCCCTTTGACCGCTCTAGCAGTGGCCGCACTTGCTCGAGAAGCCGGGTTTCCCAAAGGGGTCATCAATGTGGTACCGGGATTTGGACCAACAGCTGGGGTCCCTCTTGCACTACACAACGACGTTAACAAAATAGCGTTCACTGGATCCACTGAAGTATAAATCATTCAAATATAATTACCAACATCATTCATAAATAAACTATTTAGGTTGGAAAACAAATTATGGCCTACTCAGGACAATCCAATCTCAAGAGGGTGAGCCTGGAACTCGGCGGGAAAAGCCCTTTGGTGATTTTCAACGACGCTAATTGTGAGTAATTCGGGTTAATTAATACAAACTAATTATAATTACTTTTGGTAGTGGATGAAGCTGTAGAAATCGCCCACGGTGCCATTTTTAATAATCACGGTCAGAATTGTTGTGCTGGCTCTAGGACTTTCGTACAATCAGGGATATATGACGCTTTTGTAAAAAAAGCGGTCGAAAAAGCCACTAATCGAAAAGTTGGGGATCCGTTTGGGGATGGGGTGCAACAAGGACCTCAGGTAACTCATTTAAACACGGATTTAAGATAATATGGTTGAAATTGTTAGATTGATAAAGCGTCTCTGGATAAAATTTTGCGCTTGGTGGAGTCTGGAAAACGAGAGGGGGCTAAATTGGAAACTGGGGGCGCCCAAATTGGAAATAATGGTTACTTTGTCCAACCAACTGTTTTTTCAAATGTCACTGATGACATGACCATTGCTAAAGAGGAGATTTTCGGACCCGTGCAATGTATTTTGAAATTTGAAACCCTAGGGGAAGTGATTGAAAGGGCTAACAACACCCAGTATGGACTGGCGTCTGGAATTATAACCAAAGATATTAATACAGCCCTGGTTTTTGCCCAGTCAGTTCAAGCAGGCTCTGTCTGGTAATCCTCACACACAATTAAAATAAGTGTTGCATTCACACATTTTTAGGGTCAACTGTTACGACTACATCACCCCCCAAACCCCCTTTGGTGGCTACAAAATGTCCGGAATTGGTCGCGAAATGTAGGTACCCAAAAAATTAATTTCGTCGTCACTAAACACGTTTTTTAGGGGCGCCGAGTCTCTAGAGGGCTACTTGGAAACCAAAACCATCTCAATTAAAATGCCAGGAAAACTGTAAACCTGTATCTCAACCCTGAATAAATTGTCTACCTTGAAATTTCTTTATTTACATACAAACAACTACACAACAAGTCGCTCCTACGACGACGGAATTCCCAGCTCCTCATCGCTCCATTGTCGAGGGTCAGGATATGGGAATTCGCCCTACGAAACAAAATTACCTTAAAAAGTAAACATAACCTCACTTACAGTGACGTGCCCGGGTTCAGTGTACAGATGCCATAAAACCCACCACCACGCAAAACCTTGAACGGCTTCGGCTGCCCAAAGCAAATTCTTCGTCGGCGGAGGTCCCGCACTTCTATAACTCCATCTACAACGGATTAGGGGGGCATTACATAACCACAATTTTTTATACATACACGTGTGAAGAGTTTCTGACTTGCTGGACGGTTTCAAGGGGGGCTCCTCGAAGTAGTTTGGTTGTTCTGAGGACGCTGAGTCCTCTAGAAAGCAGCATTTTCGAGGGGGCTCACTATTAAGTTGTACGAAATGTCACTTGTCACTTGTCAAACGACTTATTCCAATTTTTAAGAGGCAATCTCATGAATGTTGCACCGATAGATGGCGCCTCTACATTTCAATTTCGTGATTCAAAAACATAAACAACTACTACTTCTTCATTTATTATCGCGTCATTTAAGTTTAAAACTATCTATGACAATAAAAAATTACAACAACCAATGATAAAATGGTGGGGCGTGTCCACCTAACTTTTAGCATGCACAATCATATGTTTTTTCAGGTATGACTTCTCCAAGAAGCCTTTACCGCAAATTGTACAAATATGACACCGATCGCCTTTGTGTATCCTCTCGTGCACTTGCAGGTTGTACAAATTATTAAAAGCCTTCGCGCACACGCTACAAACGTAGGGTTTAAGCCCTGAATGCACTAACAAGTGTTGTTTGAGTTGTGGCTTCGAAATAAATCGCTTTTCGCACTGGTTGCACTGGTACGGTTTTTCCCCCGAATGGCGCATCATGTGGTTGTAAATATTCGACACGTACTTCCCACAAACCGAACACAAGGTTTTGCTTCCTTTGAGTTTGTGGATGTTGCGGTTGTGGTTGTACAAACCGCTTGAATGCTTGAAGACTTTTTTACAAGTTTTGCAAGGGTAGCGAGTGTTGACGGTTTGCTCAACCGGGACACAAATGTGGGATTTGAGTTCCTCCTTGTCTTTGAAGCTTTTGAGGCAGTGGTGGCACTTACACACTCGGTACTTCACTGAGTAGGACACATTTTCAGTGTGAATAATTTGGTGGCGGTTGAGGTGCTCCGGATTCGAGAATCTTTTCAAACAAAAGCGACACTCGTGGGGCAACTCGTCACTAGTGTGCGTCAACATATGGCAGTCGTAGTTGGTTTTAATCACAAAACCTTTCCCACAATGCTCACACTTATAAGGGAATTCTTTCAAGTGTTTGACCCGATGGGTGTTCAAGTGGTTCAGTCTCTTAAAAACGCGCTCACACTTATCACATTTGTATTCACATTGCTTGCGGTGGGTGTCTATGTGGACGCGGAATTCGTCCACCGGAAGCTCCACGTTGCAGTAGGGGCATTTGTGGAGTTTAACAGGCCGTTCGAAGATGGTCACCTGGGGGTTGGTTAAGTGTCTTCGCGTTGAAAACTTCGTGGTCGCGGTGACTTTCTTCTCGTCGGGAATACTGAGATACTTTTTCAGAGCTTTATGGGTGTGAGCGTGGTCTCTTAATTCTAGCGCGGTGAAGTCTTTAGTGCAGATGGGGCACGAATGCTGGGTACTTCGCGTGAGTGAGACTTTTTCGTTTTCGTCGATTTCGGGCCGCTTTTTCCGCCGCCTTTTAATGTGGCGGGTTTTTCGGGTTTCTAAGGGGGCTACGTCTTGGTGGTTGTCGTCGCTGTCGATTTCTTTCTTCACGTAGTTGGTGAGGAAGTCCTGGAGGATTTTGTTGGCTTCTTCGTAGCGGAGTAGGAGGATGTAGGCGGTTTTGAGGTCTCCGAGGCAGTCGTTGCAGATTATCGTTGGGGCGAAGTCGTCAGAGAGGGGCTGGAAAGGTGGGTTTAAAGTCGGGGGTGGGGTTATCGGTGAGTTTACCTTTTGGTTGGTGACTCGTGTTAAGATTTCGGCTACGCTATAGGAAGAAATGCCGAATTCTTTGAATTCTATTATGGTGTCGAGGTTTAAAATTGCGTGTTTTTCTTCGAGGCATAGTTTGCATATTTTCTGGAGGTTTTCGGGGGTTATGGAGCCTTTGATGAGACTCATTTTGGGGGTTTTGTGGGTTACATGGGGGCTAACACGATGCTAACCTCAAATGTGACAGAGTGTTGACTTTTGCATAGGGACGTAAACATACAACTGTTAGGGCTAAAAATCCCTAACGACGAACCAACACATTTAAGGAATGTAAAAGAATATTCATCATAGAAAACCCTATGAACACAACAATAAGCCTGTTTTTAAGTCTACAGCTGTATAGAAGACGCATAATTTGTTTCAAAATAAAAAATCCAACGCGTTAAAAAAGTCTGATTATTTTAAGATTGGTACTCCTGAGTCAGATACGAAGTTTAAAAATGGAAACAAACCGATGATGAAAATGAGACAGAATTATAATTCTATGAAATGAAACATAACTAAAACTAAAAACTGCCACGTTGCCAATTGTACTTCCGGAAGTTCTCGAAATCCATGAAACTTAGAAGTTCAGAACTCTTTCAGAGATTCCAAAAATTCCACTAACATTCAGAGATAATGGAGATCCTATATGTATTTGTGGTTATTTTCTATATTCTCGAGATTCTAAAGACCCTAGGGGTCCTGTTCAATTGAAAAAGCCATCAAGTTTGCTTTGATTTCTTGTAAACATTGTGACGTATGTCGACAATAAAGCTCAAATTTAATCGGTGGCAGCTGACAACGTGGAAATGTCATTTAAACCAGCAGTATGGATTAATAAAACACATGCGTTTTTCGCTACGTTTTCTTACTGTATTTTCCAGAGAAGTTCCCTGGATTGTAAAAGATCTAAAATTTTCGAAAATCGTAGAATTCACGAGGTAACTGGTATTCCAGAATCCTTATAGCAACTTTGGATCTCTACCTACCGATTACAGAGATTCTAGGAATTCTAAATTTTTCAAAAATTCCACGGATCTAGAAACCTCCAAAACAATATGGAAATTTATTTGAACATCAAAAATCCCGAATTTCTTTAGAACCTTGAAAGTTTGGAAATCTAAATGTTCCAGACAATCTAACAGTTCCAGAGATTCATGAGTTTATAGGATTATAAACTCTCCAATTTCTAAAAATTCTACAGGCTCTAGAGCTCGGTCTAGAGATACCATCAGTAAAAATCCAAAAGATTAGGCCCAAAATTTCCGAGGTTCCTGGAATTCACGAAATAACTGATATTCCAGAAATCCTAAACAACTTTGGATCTTTAACGATTATAGAGATTCTGAAATTCCATGGATCTAGAATTGTAATAAAAAAATTTAAAAACCAAAGATTTCAGACTTCTTGAGAACTTTGAAACTTCGGAAATCTAGATTTTCCAGAAATCCAAAAGTTCTAGTCCAGAGATTCATAGATTTCACAGAGATATTTGTGGTCACACTACAAACTGTCCGATTTCTAAAAATTCTACAGGCTCTAGAGATACTCGATACCATAGAGATTCCAAAGATTATAGATATTTTATGATTCTAGTTAGATATTATAGACATCCTAGAGGTTATACATGGATTCTACGAGTTTCATAGAAACTGTAGATTCCAGGAACTTCAGTTTCTAAATTCCTATAGAATTCACGAGATAATTAGTTTTCCAAAAAATCTTAGCAATTTTGGAATTGTAATAATTATTATGCTGATTCCAACAATTCCAAATTTTTCAAAAATTCCACGTATCTAAATAGAAACCTCCATAACAATATGGAAATTTTGAACATCAAGAATTCTGAATTTCTTGAGAACCTTGAACCTTTGGAAATCTAAATCTTCCAGACAATCCAAAAGTTCCAGAGATTCATAGATTTCACAGAGATAGTAGGGACTGTATGTATATTTGTCATCCAATGAACTCCTCAGTTTCTAAAAATTCTACAGGCTCTAGAGCATAATCTATAGATACCATTAGAGAATTACTTAGATGCCATAAAGATCTCAAAGATTAGGTCCAAAACTTCCGAGATTCCTGGAATTCACGAAAGACATTCTCGAAAACTTTAAAGTTCTATAGAATTCCAGGGAATTCAAAGTGTCCAACTAAACCACAGATGCGCAGTATATGAAAAAGGTCCTAAAAGTTCCCTGAGTGGCAAAATGTCTAAAACTTTCGAAATTCCTAAAATTCACGAAATAAATGATATTCTAGAAATCCGAAACAACTTTCGATCTCTAACAATTATAGAGATTGTAAAATTCTATGGATCTAGAAACTTCAAAAATTGTAAGGAAATATTGAAAATCAAAGATTCTGGATTTCTTGATAACTTTGAAACTTTGGAAATCTAAATTTTCCAGAGAATCCAAAAGTTTTAAAGATTCACGGATTTCACAGAGATATTTGTGGTCACACTACAAACTGTCCAATTTTTAAAAATTCTACAGGATCTTGAGACACCAGATACCATAAAGATCCCAAAGATTATAGATATTTTGTGATTCTAGCTGGAGTTTTCAGATAAAGTCCAAAGCTTTCGAGATTCCTGGAATTTGCGAAGTATCTGAGATTGCAGACATCTTCCAGGACTTTGAGACTATAAGAATTATAGAGGTTCCAATATATCTACAGTTTTCAGACATTCCACGGATTTAATGAAAACCCCCATACTAAAATTCCAGAGATTCTTACGTCAGGGATAGTGGAGATCTATATGATTTGTCGCTATCCTGTATATTCTACGACTAGAGGTTATACAGATTTTATGATTCTACTAGAGTTTCATCGAAACTGTAGATTCCAGGGACTTCAATGTTTCTAACTAAGCCTTAAATTCAGTATATTTTTAAGGCCCTAAAAGTTCCCTGAGTGACAAAATGGCTAAAACTTTCTAAATTCCTATAGAATTCACAAAGTAACTGATGTTCCAAAAATCCCTAGCAACTTTGGAATCACCCTAAAGATTATAGAGGTTCCAAGATGTCTAAATTTTTCAGATATTCCACAAATTTAAAAGATTCCAGAAACTCCAAAGATTTAGGTAATGAAAATATAAAAAAAAATCCATAAATTTTTTGCGTCAGAGATAGTGGAGATCTATATGGTTTGTTGCTATCCTGTATATTCTACGACGGGTTCTAGAGAGCCTAGAGTTCCTAAATATAGTAGATACAGAGATCCTAGAGGTTATACAGATTTTATGATTCTACTAGAGTTTAATAGAAACTGTAGATTCCAGGGACTTCAATGTTTCCAACTAAGCTATATTGTATTTTAAAATCCTTAGCACCTTGAGAATTGTAATGATTATGCAGATTCCAACAATTCTAAATTTCTCAAAAAATCCAGATTTACAGACTTCAATAATAAGGAAATTTTGCTTGAGAACCTTGAAACCTATGAATTCTAGACCTTGCAGAAAATCCACAAATCCCAGATATTCAGAAATTTCACAGATTCGTATGTTCAGAGATAATAGAAATTCTAGTTATATCCTGTAGTTATTCCAAGATTGGTACTACAGCGTTTGACAGCTCGCCACGAATTGTCAATTTGACGTTTAAAAATGGAAATAGTCACCAGAATTGAATATAACCTTAGATTATTTCACACTAGGAAGGTAATGTGATATAGATGTCACTAGTTTACCTTATTAGGTTGTATGGAATTTTACAATACATGCAAATAAAAATTAAGTTTAAGGCTGTGTTTAGAGGTAATCACTTTAATGTTCGAAAGTCACTTTCTGAATTTATATTTCGACGTCAAATTTTCAATGACGTTCAGCTTAAGACACAGATAGAACGAAAAATAGCAAAAGGAAGAAAGACTAACAAGTATGAAAAACGACTGTACTGCGCATGCGGCATGCACTTAAGGGTACTTCTACCGCTGTCAAAAAATAACAACGATCTAAAAAATTAATTTTATTCGTCCATATACTGAAATTACACATACAAGATACAAAAAAAAACAACTATCTCAAACAAACCTATCATGTAATATTGACAACTTAACTAATTTTGCATTAATGAATAAAAGCCCAATCGTCGAAGGAAAATTACAGTAAAGCACTTTATCCTCGAACAGCGTGCCTCAAATGTTTTTTTCAAAAAAAAAAATGAAAGAAAATGCTCGACATTTGCTACACAGGAATGTTTATACAATTTATATCAGCATTATCGTCTGTACGGATGGTAGGACTGTGACGGAGCGTTGTACGCCGACCCCCGCTGTGGCCCTCCGGAGTAAGAATCTCCTGATGCGTAATCACCTACGGTAGAATTATTCACAAGTGAACGTTTAGACTTGACACCAGACGATCTATTAAGCAGGACGGTAGGAGTGGGGCTTGTGTTAGGGATTTCATCTGAAAATAAGGAGGTTGGGTGCAAGGGAGCGACAACATGTTCCTTGCCGAAATGCATTTACGCGAATATAGTCTTCCAGGCGGAAAACTATAAAAGTGTAAATTCGGGTATGTACTGTACTGGTGGGAACAGGTGGAGAGAATAAGAGCGTTTGATTTTTTCACTGTTATATTTTTTACTCATTATCGAATAATCAAAGATGATAGGTACAATTCTTTTGTAAGATTCTGTTAAAACTAATAGACATCTTAGTTCAGGCTAAATATACTCAACTACCCCGATACAAATGCACTACTATATATTATATATATATTTATAATATACTCCTTAAACGACACTATTTAACCAGGTCTCGTTTGAAAGTTTGCTTTTTTATTACTTCTTTTTTCTTTAAATAACAATTACTACTACAGTAGACCTCGACAACCTTTACAATACTTAACAGGCTTATTGATCATGAAGATTGCTTGCAACAGGTGAATTACATATCTACGTGTGAGTTGATTTACAGTGGCAGAGGATAACATTAGAGATGGGAACGAGGAAGTTAAAAGAGGGACAGTTACGTCAGTGATAACGGCTTAACTATTAATTAACACGTTCTTCATGAAATAACTAGCGACTTAAGAATTAGAAAACAATTTTACACACTTACAGGTCACACTCATATATTGAATATACAGTTCTTTCCTCTTTTTTTTTATCTTATAGAGAATTGTCGGCTGACATACGATTTTTTTCTATTATTACTTAACTTTAACACAATACAAAATAATATCTTTTGAGCAACAAATCAATGCCTAATTTAAAAAATAGCGAGAACACCTTACATAAAGAACTATTCGGCTAGTAAAACCACATGAGGAATTGCACTATATATAGTAAAGGCCCTAATTATATCTTCTTTCTTTTATTGTATAATAGTTTAAATTTAAAACTTATTCTGTATCTGTACATCAGTCAAATTGTTCTAAATTTTACTCCTCTATTTAAATTTAATATTACACTAACAATTCAATTAACTATCAGCGAAATTGTAATATAAAATACAATTTATAAATAATCTATATATTATTTTGTAGATTTATTTTGTATTCATGTCTAATACTACTTTAAATAATTACTAGTTATCGGCATAAATGTATATTAATATATTCGTGTGTACGATGAACTCTGTTGTGATTACAGGGCGCCCACCCCCAATTCCCCTGAAAAATAACGACAAACAAAAAACGTCACGAGATGTCCGAAAATAACATTAAAACTAAAACGACAGACGAGACCACAAAACCCGATGCTACAAATCCAATCTAATTTACGCCCAAACACCCACCGAAAGAGCCTTTCATCAAACTTAAGTCATTTGTAGTCGCCAAACCCACTCAAACTTATAACAGCCAACTACAAACCCAAAACTTTTCTGCGTTTGCAGTTGGCCATGCAACAGCACGTCACCATAATTCAGTTTAAAATCAAACTATTACAATTATGGCACGACACTGAACACACGTCAACTGCAAACACAAACTATTTTATTCAAAAAACAGCTTTTCAAACGCTATTCTTACTTAAGTCACTGCATACTGCACGTTATTCCCCAATGTATTGTGTTGTAACAAACGAGAGAAGCAGAACTACTTGAAAAGTTGAGATTGGTGCTCGCAACGCTAGCTATATTCGATTTTTGAGACACTATACTATTTCTGGCTTAATTTAAGTCGCTTTTGTTTACTTAAATTTTTCGACAAGCTGCTTCTATCCAGGTTTAGAGAATGTGTCGTGTGTGTGTGTGAGAGAGAGAGAGGGAGATGGTTATCACGTTCTAGTTTGGTGTTAAATTGACTCGAAGTTTTTTTTTCCGAAACAAGTCCCTTGTGTTCAAACGCGGCAGCGTTTCAGGTCCGTTCTAGTGAACTGTGACTTGTGATAGAGCGTCCTCTAGAAAAAGAGATAAATCTCTGATTCTAGAGGCACTACAATCAACAATCTTTGCTTATTTAGAGGTTAGTATGAATCTTTTCCTTGAGTTTTTTTAGAAGTTTTTGGGTAGGACTCTTAGAATTGACCCACCCCTCCCAAAAAATAAGCCCCGACCCGTTGTCGTTGGGTCTACGCCTATTGTCAACAACCCATCGTAGCCCAAACCCGAGTTAAATTCTAACCCGTTTCACCCCACATCCAACTCAACAGGCCAATGACCGCAGGAAGAAGCGCGGGGGTGGTGTGACCCACCCCCGCGACTTGCTAGGTGGGGTCCTCGACACCCGCGGGACCCACGGATGCCGAGGACTAGCCACTAGCTTTCGACGGAACAAAAAACTTCGATTCGTTTATACAAAGTTGGGGAATCGGTTTTTACTCTGGTAAACTTATCTTCAGTTTCCTTATTCGTGTCTTTTTGTCACCATTGTGGGTTGATTGTTGGTAATTGGTTATCTCAGGAAGGTAAAAGATGCGGCAGCTGCCCGCGAGGGGCGGCTGCCACAACCACCCCCTTTAATAAACCACAACCACACGGTTGGTGCTTATTGGTCACTGACTTGCCGCACACTCCCCCCTCCCCTTTGGTCGGTTTCCCGCGCCGCCCCGAAAGATACGGCGGCCGCCCGCCAGCATCGGTCCGTTTTAGAGGCAGCATAGGTGCCTTTCGGGCCGTCCCCGGGAAACCGACACGGGTTCGGACATGTCCGCGCTAACGACACCCGGGCGACTCTCCCGCCTATGCCGGTGCTCCAGGGGCCGCGCGCAGCGCCGACGTCTAAAACCTGCACTGGCGTGCCTGCGGTCCACGCGTCCCCTGGAATACCGGGATCGGCGCGAGCTGGTCCCGCGAGCGTTAGCGAGGGCATGTCCGACGCCCTGGACGCCCTGTAAAGTCTACGCTAGCGCGCCCCAACTTGCAACTCTTGGAATCGAAAAGTGAAGCAACTGTAACGCTCGTGATGGAAATAAGGCAACAAATATCATCAAGTCGGTGTGCTGGGTGTAGACGATTTGGCTTTTTGTAAATTATTTAGAATGTGTCATGTGTATGTACAGTAACTCCCCCACCACAGAAGAAAGGGAATATAATCGTTCTCTTTATTAAGTTACTACTAAGACCTACTTTAAAAGAGCGCTTTATTTTGTTTTACTTTTTTTTTTTGTAAATTCTTTAGTATTGGTCTGCGTTAACCGAGGAATATTATACAATTAAAACTAGAAAACAATATCATTTACGTCTAGGTTGCTATCATCAAACATTGCTTAATGTAGATTGTCACACTCAATAACTTTTCAATAAAAAATAAAAAAAGATTAATAAAAAAACAAAACGAATCAATTATTCAATCAGATAGACACATGAGGCTCAGACAGACAGAATTACTCTACTAAATATAAATCACCATGATTCGTAAGTTACTGCTATAATCTAGTTATCTAGCATATCTGGAGAACCCCCTCCCCCCTCCCTGACAACCCCTAGTTCAAAGTATGTTTTAAAAAAATTCGGTTTTTTAGTCTGCTTTCTAAATAGATCACAACCACTTGAATAATAACCTTAATTTATCAAAGTCTTTCGAATTGCAACTAAAATTATGTGAATAAATAATTTACAACTTGTATCATTATCAATAATAATAGTAAAAAAGCATATAAAAATTAAAATGTACATCAGTTGCGACATATACATACATGACCGGATTCGAGGTGGTGTGCCAATCCTTCCAGATTGCATTGTTAAATTTTGGAAGCGGTGTTCAAATTTACAATCAGTCTGACGGGATGTTCATATCGAGCTGTGAATTCCCAGACACGTGTAAGAGGCTCCATTTTGATATGACGTGTGTGTGTGGAGGTACACAGTACGATATTCGGATTGGCGAATGTTGGTAACGCGATGTTAAAACTAAGGAGTAAAATAGGCATTAAGCATACTACAGAACAGCCAGATCTTACGATAATCCTAGCATCTATTTCTGTGGTTGTGTACTATTGAATCGATATTACTTATTATAAAATTATTAAATAGTGACCTTAACTTACAACAATTATTTAAAATTCCCTATCATTCTTAAATTGGATTAGATTGTCTGCTGGTCAATTTAAATTTAATAACTTAGATAAAATACATTTATTATAGTATAAATATATATACAATACGCCACCTACAATTTGATATTGATTCTTATAACATGAAATATGAGACTAGAGCACGTTCAACTTACAATAAGTAATCAGTTTCTCATACTACTCGTAGGAATACATCATAAATATATACGAAATATGGTTCATTTATCATTACCAACTATTGTAAATGCATTTAACTTAAGTTTAAGACGTTACACCTACTAACTAAGTATGAATCACATTCTTCGTTTATTTTCTCCTTTATAGTAGTATTAAAGATTTCTTAAGAGACGCAACCACGCAGACACTCTAACTTTGAAATAGAGATATGAGGTAAAAATCGAATTTACACTATTTTTAATAATATTATTATTTAATAACAACTTGAGCAGTGCTTAAAATTAGTCAACACTTCTGTCTGTCTGCGGTAGGTTATTCGGTCGAAGTGAGTCAACTCAACTTAAGTCGAGTTTCGTAACGCAACAAGAGCGACCTCTAGCAACAAACCCGCGAAGACGTAAAGGTTGTCGGCCTGCCGTTAGAGGGCGTCTATAAATAAAGAAAACAAAAATGACAAAAGAACCAACAAAAGTGAGCTGCACATCTCATATGTCTGTCTAATCCGAATAATTGATTTTGGCGGGAGTGACCAGTCCGGCTGCTCTCTTCATGTTAATCAAGCCAACACGTTTCCTACTATTACAACACATACCCATCTTGCCGGCCTTGAGCGCGTCCTCCTCCTCCTCCAGCTTGTCGGCGTAGAACGTGGCCTTGACGGCCGCGTTCACGTACAGGCGCACGCCGCCGGAACGGCTGGGGGCGGAGGAGGCGGACGTGCCGCCACCGACGCCGTTGTTGCCGTTATCGAAAGGTTGTCAAGAACTGGGCCACTCTTTAAAATCATTGAAATGTTTAGCACCTGCGTTTGGAGGCTGCGACGAGTATCCGCTCACTTGGCTGCCGCCGTCGCTGCCGTACGAGCGCGGCGGCGCTCCGTAGCCGCCGGCGTCCGCCGCCGACGCGTACGACCCGTAGCCGTAGTTGTAGTCGGAGCCGGGTTTGGAGTTGCCCCCGGACGAGGACATGTTCGGCGGGGCGCTGGGGGTGGCCGGGCCACCGGGACCAGACTGACCGCGAGAGTACATGTCCCCTGCAATGTAGCCTGTTAAAGAGAAAAAACAACGGTTTTGACTGATTCAGGGTGAGGTGGGCGGCGTTCCAAAACAAAATGTGTCAACATAACCACACTTTTAAATGACATTTTAAATTTTATACCATTTTGACACATTTTGATAACGGCACGGCCCCCGTAGTGCTTGCAAGTGTTTGCTTGTTTCTTGGTTTGGAAGCGGTGTGTGTTGTACCGTACGTGACAGAAAACGGATCGACTTACAATATGCATTAAAATTATCTCTAAGTAGAGTCATAAAATGCAGGTGCAAGCCCCATAGTCAAACAATGAAATTTGACAGGAATTTGTTTATTAGACCGTTTCGCTGATATTTTTACCGCAATTAATAACCACCAAAGTCCGTGGTTTTCACTTACAGATAAAATATTTACTGCTTGGCAAATGGAATGTTTAATTATAACGTTACTAAAACCCGTACTTTTAACCACAAATCAGCCACTTTTGCATAGTTCACATTCCCTATAAGCGGACCACAGTAAATTATCGAATGTTATTAATAAACAACACAAATCGTTGAATAAAACTTTCGAGAAACTAAAGTATGTTTGGCAACATAGCTGCGAGTCAGAATTGTTCAGTTTTTTCCAAGGACTCAGAAATGTAATAATTAGTAATATTCGTATAATAACAATAATAAATAGAAAATGCCAATAAGTTGGTATAAAACTAAACTCGTCCATTAAAAATATAATAAACGATAAAAATAGAGTCGGTGCAATTAGTTGAATACCGCCGACAATTCAACAAACGAGTTTTCATTATTTTTTTATTAATCAATAATTAAAATGTCGTGTTTCAACTAGGCAGCAAACCCGCTCGATTTTTCTGAATGTTGATTTTTATATCTGCAAATTTTATTCTTTCCATTACTAGTTAAAAAATTTTGAGCGGGATTTCTCGATTGCTCGTCGATTTTCCCACTGTTCCCTGGTTACGCATTTTCTGGACACGGGAGTAGTGGGGGAAAAGCGGGAAAATGCATCCTCCACAGGATACGCCACAATGTCCGGAAACGCGTCGGTGTGAAGGTGTTGAAATGTTTACATTAATTTAAATAAATAATCCGTAATAAATGCAGACCGTTATTTTTAAATCCACTAAAATTGTACTGATTGAACCGTGGAATTAAACAGGTAAAAGCTGTAAATAGATCTGTTACTGTACTAGTAGCAGGTAGAATCCCGTGGCAGGGACGTACTCGTAAAATTTCAATGTTCACTTCAACTCGTATGTTTTTTTTTTCTAGCAAGGCCATATTTTGTTTTGCTAGTTTTTGCCATTTTTTGCATTTTTTTTATGTTTCAAGATTACGATTTAAATAATTTTTAATGGTTCTTTGTAAAAAGTAAAGAATTTTATTTTAAATGAGAGCCATAACTGAAATTAGTACACTATTTTTGTATACTAATAAAATTTTATGGCTTAATAATGTTGTAATCTATTACTACTGGGTTTTAAGCCTTAAAAAAAACTGTTTTTATTGAATTTCATCAAAAAAAGTGTATTTTTACGAAGTACTGTCGATTTGTAGTTTTTTTGATTTTACAATATTTTGGCTTGAAATTTTTGAAAAATTTTATGCTTTTGAAAATCATCAAGTTTATTTTAAACGAGAAATTAAATACACAAGTCTGTAATCACTTTATAAGTATCTACAAAACAATAATAATAGTTGAATGGTCTTCGAACTTATTCAAAAATTTTTACAAAATTTTGACGAGTTTTCAAAAAAAAAACAGCAAAAAACATCCGAAATCCAAAAATTTTCTTACAAACTTATTAAAATGACAAAACCTTACTGGAGTTTACATGGAAAAAATTAATCAAGAAGAAAATTGTATTTTTTTTTATTTTTACAAAATCGTAAGTTCCTCTGCATTTTTGAAAAGTTTTGTATTTCTTGGAAACTCTGGTTGAATCACAAATTAAACAAATAGATCACAAAACTTTTCTTTAGAATTTGGTCAATAAGAGTTAAACTATTTTTGCAAAATATTGTAATATTTCAAAAATTATAGTTTTGTTTGAGTAAAACAACCAAAATCCAGAATGTTTTTACATTTTTTTTTTATTAACATGACATAGATCTGTACTGGAGTTTAGTTTAGAATAAAAATTGTATTTTTTCATTTTTACAAAATCGTAACTTCCTCGAAAAATTTTGTATTTCTTAAAAACTATCGAATTTGTTTTTGAACCACAAATAAAACAAAACTCAAATCTCAATATAATTTAACCTACAAAGTAAAAACAACACTTACTAAAATCATTTTTTAATTCATCCAAAAATTATGAAAAATTTTAATTAGCGAAAAATTTCGATCAATTTTCTACAAAAAAAAGTTTAGTTTTTGTTATTACTGAGTTTTAAGACTTGAAAATACATTATGTTAAATTTTGTCAAAAAACTGTGTTTTTACAAAATATTGTACTTTTTAAAAACAACCGTTTTTTATAGGAAACTGAAAAAAATCGGGCCATTTTTTTGGAAACTTAATGATATGGCGATAAAACCCCATTCATACAATGAAAACAATAAAATTGTCGCTTTTTTGATTTTACAAAATTTCGACTTGAAATTTTTGATAATTTTGTGCTTTTGAAAATCATTGAGTGTATCTTAAACCACAAATTAAATACCCAAATCTCCAACCATTTCGTAACTACATATATACAAAACAATAATAATAGTGGAATGGTTTTTGAAGTTTTTCAAAAATTTCTGAAATATTTTGACGAATTTTCGAGAAAAAAACAAACAAAATAACTGTTGCTAATCCTGGTTTAATTTTTTTTGTAAAATATGATTGTAGCAGTTTTTTTTTTGTAGAATTTAGTCAATAAACTGTTGCTACTTTTACAAAATATTGTCATACATTTTTGAAAATTATAGTCTTATTAAAAATATCCAAAATCCAAAAATTTTCTTACAAGCTTATTAACATGACATAGATCCGTACTGGAGTTTATGTTGGAAAAATAGAACATTTTTAATGAAAGAATAAAATTGTTTTTTTTTTACAAAATCGTAACTTCCTCTGTATTTTTGGAAAATTCTGTATATCTTCGAAACTATGGAATTTGCTTTGAACCACAAATTAAACAAATATATCTCAATTTTCAATATAATTTCACCTCCAAAATAATAACAATACTTAATAGAATCATTTTTGAATTCATTTCAAAATTATGAAAAATTTTGATTTACTGAAAATTACGATCAACTGTTACGAAAAAAAAAACAACACTAATTTATTTTTTGTTCCTACTGGGTTTTGTAAAGCACAAAATTTTTCAGAAAGCTTAACGGAATGACCATAGAAAAAAATTGTCGCTTTTTTGATTTTACTAAATTTGAACGTAAAAATTTTTGATTTTTGAAAACCATCAAGATTATCTTGAACCAAAAACTAAACAAAAAAATCTCGAATTTCTTCTAACAAAATTTATCCACTAATTAATAACAGTTCACTTTAAATCATTTCAAAACTTCTGGAAAATTTTGACAAATTTTCGAAATTTCTGATTCTTGTTTAAGGTTCTTCTGGGTCAACTGAGTACGAGGCTTTTCTAGTCCTTTCACTTTGGTTAATTTTTAATTATTTTTCAAAATTTTATTTACCAATGTAACATTATCAAATGTGTTACAAAAATATAATACATAAAAATAAATATAAAATTTAAATTAGCGAAATTTTGAGGCGACGTTGTTTTGCAATTGTGATTTTTTCGAAAAAGAAAAACAATTTCTGTATTTATGGAATGATGTAAAACATCATTTCTTTTTTACAAATTTTCATTTTATGCATACTGCAGAGTACATAATGTGTACAGATAAATAAATAATTGTCACATCCAAGTAGGCCCTGACGTTTGCCGCCTCGTCGAAATAGAATTTATATTAAAGTGTCCACCTTGAAGTTTCTTATCAGTTACGGCGAATAGCAAAAACACAAATAACAATTCAGAAAATACTTTTTAAACACTTCAACAACAACTAAATTTTAATAAACGGCAACAATTTCATGCTTAATTTTAATTAGAAAAATACAGTGAAACTTCGAAAGAACGACATTCCGACTTCATAAAATATTGTTCTGCGACACGAAATAAATTTACGCTAAATCAGATAACGTCAGCGATTTTTATTATCTTTTTTATGAACAGAAATTGCATTGTATATTTTAGATAAAACTGATATGATTTTTTTCTAGTACTTCAAAATCGAAAAACATCTAGATGCAGTTTAAACATACTGTAGAATACATAATAATAATCGAAATATCGAAGTAGACCTTGGCGATCAGTAATAATAAGAACCACAGTTCCGTAAAGCGGCAAATATTAGTGAAAATTTCACCGATAAATAGCCAAAAAAAATCGTAGACTTGCACCTGTTTCCCCGAAACCCCCGCCGACTCTGTCACCTACGGCCACCACTTACCTGACGGACCTGTCGAGCCGCTATTCTGTGGCATATTCCAGCTGTTCCAGCTCGTCCCGCTGCCGGCGCTGGGACCTGCGAACGCCCGCTATAACCGCCGCCTCCAAACACCAACCCCCAACTCACCGTACGATCCGTAACCTTGCTGCTGCGGCGGTCCCCCGTAGTTGTTTCCCCACTGCGGCGGCGGCCCTTGCGGCGCTGGCGGCGCGCCCCACCCCTGGTACGAGCCCGGTCCCGACGGCGTGCCGTAGCCGGCGTAGCTCTGCTGCTGCGGAGACGTGCCCCATCCCTGGTAGCTCTGCATCATGTTGGGGCCCATCGGCGCACCGAGGTTCATCGGTGGCCCGCCCATCTGCCCGTTGGGGCCCTGCATCATGCCCATGGGCGCCTGCGGCGGGCCCCAGGCCGACGACGGGTCGGCGCCGCCCATCTTGTTGCCGCCGGAGCCGTCGCGAGGCTCCGCCTTCTTGATCTCCACCTGACAAATCACGGGTGAGTGTTTTTCGAAACGGGGGCGACCGAGGACTTACTTGTTTTCCGTTCAGGTTGACGAAGTGTTCCGCAACGCATCGATCGACGGACTCTTCATCTTCAAAAGATAAGAATCCAAAACCTGGAGGAATTTAAGCAAGTTTTTAGAACTGATGTCACGGAAGAAAGGTGAAAATAACACAGGTCCCACATTGGAGCCTTATATATGGGTTATACTAACCTCTTGATTTCTTCTTCTCTTGGTCATACATGATGACAACTTCCATAACTTTTCCAAACCGAGTGAAGAATGTCCTCAGATCGGTTTCGGTCACGTTGGAGGGTAGTCCTCCTAAAAATACCTTAGGATAACCTCCGCCCTTTTTGGGCTTTTGTAGTGTCCTCGGATTACATGGTTTTGGATCGATAGTTCTGAAAATGGGCATCATTTACACGTTTAAGAGAAACCTTCTCATTTCACCTTCCGTCTAGTGTATGTGGGCCATTTTGTAGTACTGAGTTAACATTGGCTGGATCTGAAAATGTAACGAAACCAAATCCTCTAGAACGGCCAGATTCTGCATTCTTCATTACAACGCAATCGATGACTTCGCCATATCTAGAGAAAAAGCGTTGAAGATTGTCCTGGGTTGTCTCCCAAGACAAGCCCCCTACAAAAAGCTTGCTGCAAGAGAAAAAAACAAGTTGAAAATAGTCGCTTTCGCCTCGATCAACCCGAGATGGACGTGACGAGGTCAAGATGCCACGAAAAATTTGCTATTAATAACTAGCAAATCACTTTTTTCTATTTTAAATGGTCGCACATAAATCCCGTGCCAGCGACGAAATAGTTGTACAACTCCACTTAAACGGCTTTAGCTTTAAAATAGCCCGATTTTCTCTCAATATTTTCATTTATCCTACGCACATTCCGCCGTGGAACGCCGATTGCAATGGAAAGTTATTCCTGGATTCGCAAACAGAAAATTACAAGCGAAAACTTGTTTAGGATTAATTCAAACAAAACGGGATCAATGTAGTCGCCCTTCGCATCGAAAAGTAACCAGTTACCAAGCGGCATTTTTTTTTAGATAAAAACTTGATAAGCATATGTAGTTTCACCTATGAGATTATAATTTCTCCGGTGAAAGTCATTTCATACAAAGAAATAATTACTAACGATTTGAGTGGCGAGTTTATAACACCAATTTGACTGCATTGCAAAATATTCATACGAAATATTTATAAAGGTTGACGGTAAAGTCGAACTATGAAACTTCAACAACAACAATTAATACAAATAAATGCAAAAAAACACATACCCTTCTATTCGCAGCAGATTCTACTTCTCTTTCACTTTTATGGCTGGCAATCATTTTCTCGAAATTGTCTACGTGTGAATGCACCAAAAACAAGTCTTTGTTTCTACTCTAATTTCTATAGCTGCGATTTTTTAGCAGTCGTCGCAGATGATAAGATAAGATAACTTATTTTTACCATTTTGTTTAATTTAAAAGATAAGGTCACGCATTACACAAGGATTCGTGTGAAAATTGTGAAATTTATTTTTTGTCAAAATCATATTTCACGACGTTTCTTCATATAATATTAATGTGACGCAGATTATGCAGGGTTCAATTAGCATGCGACATGAAAGAGCCACGGAGCTAATTATAGACGAAATTATCTCACCAGTTATTAGGTCAGAAACAAAAATACTGGCATTGACGCGATCTTGACTTTATCTCGACTTCAAAAAATCGTTAAAATCGGTCGCGTTTCAGTATTTTTTTCAAGTGACGAAATCTGATAACATCTGCATTAAAACTCGGATTATAATATCCAACATAAATTTTCCACTTAATATAATAGTCATTAACTGTGTATAATAAGCCATAAAACTTGCACATGTAAACAAACATCCGCTTAAATAAAAGTCAGCGCTCTATTCTTAAACCCGAAATTCGGCTCGTGTGAAAATAACAAAAACTGACGTTAATTAATTTTTACGGTGAAACTCTCTAGTTTGTTTCTTGTATCTGACAATTTCAAAACAATTACGACTATCCAAACACTAAAACAACAAATATTTATGAAGTTCCGACTACACGGACAAAATTGTCGTCTATTGTTCGTAATGAGCTATAAATTTGTACAGCGGAAGCAAACATCTCGTGTTTATACAAAGATCAACGACTGGGCGAAATGGGTACAAAAAAGCCGAATAAAACACGATATTTTAATTTTTCGCCGTGCTCCAGAGGAAGTGGTCAATAATACGTATGAAAATAAAAACTGTCATACTTATGTCTAACGTAGCATTAACGTTACATAATTGTCTGTTAGACACACTTGACTGGATAATAATTTCCTTGTAAAATATAATAGCGCAATAATTATACCAAAAATGGACATCTTTAACTGCATTGAAGACGTGGTAAAAAAGTTTTTAAATTTTTCAAGTAATACGCATTCATGCCGTATTCGAGATGACGTCATGAAGTTTCCGGAGGGGGCAATAAAAATGAAATTTAGTTAATAGTGTGCCTTGATTTTTGGAAAAACGGCAGCCAAATTTTGATATGTAAATATATTATAATTTGCCCTCTGGTCGTAAGTGATGAACAACTGCACAACCGCTACTTTCAAGCCATCTTGCTAATGAGCAATAATTACTCTTGAAAATACAGTTGTTATAAATAACCAGCTATTACGTTGCGGAGAATGTTACATTCGAGTAATCCCATCCAAAATTTCGAAAACAAATCCCTATTAAACGTTAGTAATAACAGTACTGTATTCTCGAAATTTTGGGAAAATCGGATGAAGCGTTTCGATTTGATCAATTAAAAAAAATGCGGCCTGGCATTGATCCACGGACCTCTTATCTGCGAAGACTAGACTATTAAACGAGGCAACAATTATAATAGTAATAAAAAAATCAAGGCAGATTCATACACCACAAGTACAGGATATGTTATTTTATAAAATTTACATAGCCTATACTAAAAAAACACTACGGGGACGTCATCGTTAAAATAAAATATATTTGCCAAAATCAATCTTATCTTAGCAGCTACTAGCCCCGCCCACCCACCCTCTCTTTTCTTAAGGGATATGTCATCTGCCAAAATCAGTCTTATTTTAGAAGCTAGTTATATGCTTCACTTTAATGAACAAAAATACTCATATTTTGCACGCTTTAGATACGGTTTATTCAGCAAAATTCTGAAATGACGTCATCCAGTTTTGAGGGGACAAACAGTTTCAAAATTAAATTGTAAAATGTTGGCATGCAATTTGGATTTTTTTTTTTCAAGAATTTGGTCTGATTCTTCAACCACAAGCGTAGAATTTATTTTATAAATTTAAACAAGATTTACTTAGATAAATTTGTAAAAAATCTTATTTTCAGTAAAAATATATACAAGGGATTGTATTGATTTTTTTGAGTCACTCTATATCAGTAATTCTAAAAAATATGAATGCATTAATTTATAAACCACAAGTTGAACGTTTTAGAAACGATGTGTTTTAGTGAATTTTATTTTTTGTGAGAACCCCTATAAGTGAAATAAACATACATATATGTAATTTTAAATCGAATCACTCAGTAATTTTTTGAGACACCTGTATAAGCAATTCTAAAAAACTCATGAGTATAGACTCATCCACATTTTTGATGGCATTTATTTGGCAAAATTTTGAGATGACGTCATCAATTTTTGACTAAAAATTTGCCGTGCTTACAAAAACTTTAAAACGTCTACAAAATTTCAGAGTATTCGGTTTTGCAGTTTCAAAATTAAATTGCAAAATATTGTACAATTTTGATTTTTTTTTTTTTTTCAAAAATCTGGATGTCTGGATTCATAAACTACACGTGCAGGGCTATACAATTTAAAACCCATTTACTATGTACCATTTACATGAAATTCATAATACCCATATAGAATTTTATAACAATCGGTCCGGTAGTTTCCGAAAAATTCACATGAACTTCAAAACTTCCATCAGTCACACTAGATGACTAAAGGAACAGAAAATTCTCAAACTATATTTTTTCTAATTTGCACAAAACTGATGCGTTGTGATAAAATAGTCCAACAATAAAAATTTTCGTCAAAAATCATTATGAAGAATTACGATGATTTTCTTAAGAACATTAAGACGAAAACAAATTAAAATTGCTGGTGAGCAAATACATAGACATAGGGATCATGAAACGTCGAAAAATATGTGCACATGGTGGACCACATTTACAAAACAAAATTTCAAATGTGAGGTTATAAACAGGTTTCTGTGATGCGAGACGTATTCAATGCAATAATGTGATACACCCTGTATATTCAAGTTCCTATCACGATTTCAAAATGTTTGTGATAAGAAGTTCAAATAATGAATCACTGAAAAAATTGAGTTAGTGAAAGTCGTCTAAAGCGTTTTTTTAGTTCTACAACAAAAATATTCCGAAATGAATGCATGCATTTAATTTGTCACGTAAAAAAAATTTCTCCCCCTAGCTCCGACCCTGATCCGAGTCCATAAACTTGTAGCGAAAACAAACATCCGATGTTTACACAAGATCAAAGGCACGCAAAATCGCTCCCGAAACAACTCAATTCCGCCCCCCTTACCCGCGAAAACCTAAAAACAACGTTTTAATCGTGCCGTCGAAAATCGTCAATGCGTCAAGTTTCCGCACACCTGCCTTAACGGTTCCATGGAAGTCGGCACCATTTGCCCATTTCGTGGACCCATCGCCCGAAATCGTACCAACGATGACGCATTGATTCCGTTCGCGGCGTGTTCGCACCGATAATTTCTAGGTTATAAATACGGCGTAACGGCGTTCCGCCGGAGGTTCGCGGCACCGCCGCCCCCGGCGCCTGCCGTGGCACGCGACCCACATCGGTCCGGTCAACGGCCGGGGGCGGCGTCGCGGCCTCTGCGTACCCTTTCTCGTCGCCGTCCACCATCTCGGGCACCCTCAACATTCTCATGGGGGCGGTTGCGGCGGCACACTTCACACAACAAACACCCAACAGACAACAGCACAATGGCAGCTGCACGACTTCCGTCAGTGTGGCCGAGTACGAACGTGATTTAGGCGCCACCGCCGCACGCCGCCACGCACAACTGATAAGGAAATTGATGATACGTACCCGTACTCGTATTCTTCCATTACGAACTTATGACTTCTTACACTAAACTTAAAATTAATTTAAATCTAACGTTAAGAACTATCCTAATTAACAACTACGATAGGAATACACACACATGACGTACCGTCAATGTAGGGGAGTTAGAAACCATCTTGGAAGGGGGGGATCGGACGAATGCGTCAGAGAGGGCAGCCAATGGGCGCGCGGGACGGCCAAAAGCGGCGCTGTCATGACGGATGCGGCGAAGCGCGCGGGATTTGAAAACGGGAAAGTGCCACGCTTTCACCGAAACAGGTTATGGTTTTGGTGTTTTATTGGTCGCATCTAGATGAATTTCGCAGTCAGACTTATTAACATGTGTAAACTGTTGTTTGGTGCGAATTTCAGTTAGTAACGAAGGTTGCCTAAGTGCGTCTCGGTTGGTCAACATTTAATTCACAATTTCAAAACAACGGTTACAATTGATTAACCAACTTAAAAAGATTCATTTTACACAACAATTTAGTTGAGTGGGTTATTTCGCATGTTCCGTATTAAGATTAATTATTAACTATTATTAATATTATTGATGGTGTATTGTGTGTTGCATATACATCGAAGCCAATTAAATCGCTACACTACAATCTAAAGCACTATATAATAAAGTGCTTTACTACAATCAGTGACGTAGAAGAATCCGAACTTCAAACATAAAATAATAAAATGAATTTTCGTTCCATTTCAATTATTTTAGTTATTTATAAACAGCTATGTAAGTTAACAGTTAAAAAATTAAGCTTACCTCCCATATTTCTCGTGTTAGATGACATTAACGACAAAATGTAGTCCTGTTATCGAACAGATGGAGTGATCCAGTGCAGTTCACGTATGTACCTATCCACAAATGAAAAATTGAAAAACTATCAACTTTAAACACAGATAATACTTATAATGTTGTCAGAAAATATAGATTGTTCTATCTACTTGAAAACCCTAAAATATAGCTATCTTAAAATTATAATACTTTTTTTAAAATCTATGAATCGTTTGTATTTCTGTGCCTTGTAATGAAAAAAATAATAATGTCGTCCATAAATTACGTCTCACAATATGACACAATTCAGAACGCAATTTTTTAATAATAATAACTAATGAAAATATAAGAAAAAAAATGTTTTACTTTTCTACTTTATAAAAAATTAAGGTCGTAAGATACATAGTATTGTATTAAGGTCCATCTGCACCGATTTGTATGAGACAGATATAATTTCTGAGACTACTCGACCGATTGTTGGCAAATTTTACAAGTGTTGGGAATGTCGTGTAGATGGCAATTTTGTAAAATAAACATCCCGTACTTATGGTTTATGAATTCGCCTTTAGTTTTTTGCCTAGAGATCCAAAATTTCACAAAAAAATACTCATTCAAAATACTATCTAATCGACTAAAAAAGTATCGTCAACAGTAATTATGCAATGGGGATTCTAAGACAGTTTGACCTCATTTGGCTTGTACTAGTTATAATCCCCATTACTTTCTCTCAACAGGTCATTGCCTGTCTTAGGTCCCATTACTTCTTGTAGAACAAATTGATCTGTATTAGGTTCATTACTTTTTGGCGAAAAATTTATCCTGTCTTAGGTCTCTTTATTTTTTACAGAACAATTTGACTTGTCTTAGGACCCCTATTACTTTTTGTCGACCAGTTTGAGCTGTTTTGGGATCCACATCATTTTTTGTTGACGAATTGTGCCTATTTTAGGACCCCATTACTTTTTGTCGTACGATTTGACTTGTCTTAGGTTCCATTACTTTTTGTAGAACAATTTGGTCTGCCTTAGTTTCATTACTTTTTGTCGAAAAATTAGAGCTGTCTTAGGACTCCTGTTACATTTTGTCGACTAATGTCAGCTGCCTCAGGACCCCTATCATTTTTTGTTGACGAATTTTTCCTATCTTAGGACCCCCATTACTTTATGTCGTACAATTTAATCTGTCTTAGGTCCTATTATTTTTTGTTGAACAATTTGGCCTGTCTTAGGTTCATTACTTTTTGTCGAAAAATTTGACCTGTTTTAGGACCCCATTACTTTTTATAGAACAATTTGGTTTGTCTTAGGACTCCTATTATTTTTTGTCGACTAATTTCAGCTGCCTCAGGACCCCCTTCATTTTTTGTTGACGAATTTTGCTTATCTTAGGACTCCTATTACTTTTTGTCGTACAATTTGACTTGTCTTAGGTCCCATTACTTTTTGTCGAAAAATTTGCCCTATTTTGTTTTATTACTTTTTATAGAACAATTTGGTTTGTCTTAGGACTCCTATTACTTTTTGTCAACTAATGTCAGCTGCCTCAGGACCTCTATCATTTTTTGTTGACGAATTTGGCCTCTCTTAGGACCCCCATTATGTCTTGTAGAACATTCCGAGCTGTCTTAGGACCCCCATCATTTTTTGTTGACGAATTTTGCCTATCTTAGGACCCAATCCATTACTTTTTGTCGACAATTTGGCGTGTCTTAGGTCCCATTACTTATTGTAGAACAATTTGGCCTGTCTTAAGTTCATTACTTTTTGTCGAAAAATTTGACCTGTTTTAAGACCCCGTTACTTTTTATAGAACAATTTGACTTGTCTTAGGACCCCTACTACTTTTTGTCGACTAATTTGAGCTGTCTGTCTCAGGACTTCCATCATTTTTTATTGACGAATTTAGGACCCTCCTTACTTTTTGTCGAACAATTTCACCTGTCTTAAGTCCGATTACTTTTTGTAGAACAATTTGGTCTGCCTTAGTTTAATTATTTTTTATAGAACAATTTGGTTTGTCTTAGGACCCTTGGTACTTTTTATCGACTAATGTCAGCTACCTTAGGACCCCTATCATTTTTTGTTGACGAATTTGGCCTCTCTTAGGACCCCCATTATATCTTGTAGAACATTCCGAGCTGTCTTAGGACCCCCATCATTTTTTCTTGACGAATTTTGCCTATCTTAGAACCCCCTCCATTACTTTTTGTCGTACAATTTGGCCTGTCTTAAGTTCATTACTTTTTGTCAAAAAATTTGACCTGTTTTAGGACCCCGTTACTTTTTTTAGAACAATTTGACTTGTCTTACTTTTTGTCGACTAATTTGAGCTGTCTGTCTCAGGACTTCCATCATTTTTTATTGACGAATTTAGGACCTTCACTACTTTTTGTCGAACAATTTCACTTGTCTTAAGTCCCATTACTTTTTGTAGAACAATTTGGTCTGCCTTAGTTTAATTATTTTTTATAGAACAATTTGGTTTGTCTTAGGACTCCTATTACTTTTTGTCGACTAATGTCAGCTGCCTCAGGACCCCTATCATTTTTTGTTGACGAATTTGGCCTCTCTTAGGACCCCCATTATGTCTTCTAGAACATTCCGAGCTGTCTTAGGACCCCCATCATTTTTTGTTGACGAATTTTGCCTATCTTAAGACCCTCCCATTACTTTTTGTCGCACAATTTGGCCTGTCTTAGATCCCATTACTTATTGTACAATTTGGCCTGTCTTAAGTTCATTACTTTTTGTCGAAAAATTTGACCTGTTTTAGGACCCCGTTACTTTTTATAGAACAATTTGACTTGTCTTAGGACCCCTATTACTTTTTATCGACTAATTTGAGCTGTCTGTCTCAGGACTTCCATCATTTTTTATTGACGAATTTAGGACCCTCATTACTTTTTGTCGAACAATGTCACCTGTCTTAAGTCCCATTACTTTTTGTAGAACAATTTGGTCTGCCTTAGTTTAATTATTTTTTATAGAACAATTTGGTTTGTCTCAGGACTCCTATTACTTTTTGTCAACTAATGTCAGCTGCCTCAGAACCTCTATCATTTTTTGTTGACGAATTTGGCCTCTCTTAGGACCCCCATTATGTCTTGTAGAACATTCCGAGCTGTCTTAGGACCCCCATCATTTTTTGTTGACGAATTTTGCCTATCTTAGGACCCAATCCATTACTTTTTGTCGACAATTTGGCGTGTCTTAGGTCCCATTACTTATTGTAGAACAATTTGGCCTGTCTTAAGTTCATTACTTTTTGTCGAAAAATTTGACCTGTTTTAAGACCCCGTTACTTTTTATAGAACAATTTGACTTGTCTTAGGACCCCTACTACTTTTTGTCGACTAATTTGAGCTGTCTGTCTCAGGACTTCCATCATTTTTTATTGACGAATTTAGGACCCTCCTTACTTTTTGTCGAACAATTTCACCTGTCTTAAGTCCGATTACTTTTTGTAGAACAATTTGGTCTGCCTTAGTTTAATTATTTTTTATAGAACAATTTGGTTTGTCTTAGGACCCTTGGTACTTTTTATCGACTAATGTCAGCTACCTTAGGACCCCTATCATTTTTTGTTGACGAATTTGGCCTCTCTTAGGACCCCCATTATATCTTGTAGAACATTCCGAGCTGTCTTAGGACCCCCATCATTTTTTCTTGACGAATTTTGCCTATCTTAGAACCCCCTCCATTACTTTTTGTCGTACAATTTGGCCTGTCTTAAGTTCATTACTTTTTGTCAAAAAATTTGACCTGTTTTAGGACCCCGTTACTTTTTTTAGAACAATTTGACTTGTCTTACTTTTTGTCGACTAATTTGAGCTGTCTGTCTCAGGACTTCCATCATTTTTTATTGACGAATTTAGGACCTTCACTACTTTTTGTCGAACAATTTCACTTGTCTTAAGTCCCATTACTTTTTGTAGAACAATTTGGTCTGCCTTAGTTTAATTATTTTTTATAGAACAATTTGGTTTGTCTTAGGACTCCTATTACTTTTTGTCGACTAATGTCAGCTGCCTCAGGACCCCTATCATTTTTTGTTGACGAATTTGGCCTCTCTTAGGACCCCCATTATGTCTTCTAGAACATTCCGAGCTGTCTTAGGACCCCCATCATTTTTTGTTGACGAATTTTGCCTATCTTAAGACCCTCCCATTACTTTTTGTCGCACAATTTGGCCTGTCTTAGATCCCATTACTTATTGTACAATTTGGCCTGTCTTAAGTTCATTACTTTTTGTCGAAAAATTTGACCTGTTTTAGGACCCCGTTACTTTTTATAGAACAATTTGACTTGTCTTAGGACCCCTATTACTTTTTATCGACTAATTTGAGCTGTCTGTCTCAGGACTTCCATCATTTTTTATTGACGAATTTAGGACCCTCATTACTTTTTGTCGAACAATGTCACCTGTCTTAAGTCCCATTACTTTTTGTAGAACAATTTGGTCTGCCTTAGTTTAATTATTTTTTATAGAACAATTTGGTTTGTCTCAGGACTCCTATTACTTTTTGTCAACTAATGTCAGCTGCCTCAGAACCTCTATCATTTTTTGTTGACGAATTTGGCCTCTCTTAGGACCCCCATTATGTCTTGTAGAACATTCCGAGCTGTCTTAGGACCCCCATCATTTTTTGTTGACGAATTTTGCCTATCTTAGGACCCCCCCATTACTTTTTGTCGTACAATTTGGCCTGTCTTAGGTCCCATTACTTATTGTAGAACAATTTGGCCTGTCTTAAGTTCATTACTTTTTGTCGAAAAATTTGACCTGTTTTAGGACCCCGTTACTTTTTATAGAACAATTTGACTTGTCTTAGGACTCTTATTACTTTTTGTCGACTAATTTGAGCTGTCTATCTCAGGACTTCCATCATTTTTTATTGATGAATTTAGGACCCCCATTACTTTTTGTCGAACAATTTCACCTGTTCTAGGTCCCACTACTTTTTTTTGAACAATTTGGCCTGTCTTAGGTTTATTACTTTTTGTGGCAAAAATTGGTTTGTCTTAGGACGCCCATTACTTTTTGTCGACGAATTTGACCCCTCCTATGACCCCCATTACTTTTTTGTCCATAATTTGACCTGTTTTAGGACCCCCATCATTTTAAGACAACCAATTCGACCTGTCTTAGGACCCCCATTACTTTCTGTGGAACAGTTTGATCTCTTTTAGGACCCCCATTACTTTTTGTAAAAGAATTTGGTCTGTCTTAGGACCCTTAAGCTGAGGTTTGCGCGATGATCGAGTGAAAATAAGTGCAGTCCAAGGACAGGTCCTCAACAAAAAGTAATGGGGGTTCTAGGCCAAACTGTCTTAAAACCCCCACTTATGTAGTTATAACTAGAGTCTAGCAATCTTTGGAATTCATTGTTAAAAAAAATTGTGTTGACAACACAGCGTTTTTTGTTCAGTTTGAACTTATGATCAAACCGCAGGGTCAAACAACTGTCAAATAGTTTCAATGCCGGCACCATTAATTAAAAAAAAAAGAGAGAGTACAACGTAAATAGACAACTTTTTTTTAATCTCATCTGGTATAATGTACAGTTTTGTTAAAAAAATATTGGGCACTGTCATTTTATCATTTATGAGTTATGACAAATCATATGTGATTCAAGTTTTACTGTCATTTTGACAAATATTAGCACTTTTCAAAAATCAAACGATGTCAGTAAATTAAGGTTATCTAAATAAAGCACATTTTACAAGGTATGACATTAGTAAATGACAACTGCCCGATATTTTTTTAATAAAACTGTACTAATTAGTTACTTATTAGTTGTGTATTAATTTATAAATTAAATATTTTGTGATCACAGATAGCAAAAACAAAAATCCATTTTAAAATTTAAATTCCCATTGTAAACCAGAGTGACATTTGGTTAAATAAAGATAGTAACAAAGAACAACAGAGTTAAAAATAAACGATGTACCAAAAAAATTGTCACAATAGTGCTAGTAGTGAAATGTCCTTCAAGAAATTTGGTGATTTATGGTAGGTACTTAGCTAACAATAGTAGATCGGTACTTAGAGGTACTCAACTTTAAGGGCCGGAATTACCCTGTCCTGAAAAAGTCATTAGATTAATGCGTTTTAAAGATAACACCCGTCAATTTGGAAAATGACGTTGCAAAAATACACAAGGTTTAATGCCATTTTCAGCTGTTCAAGGCTGTAAAGATAATTTTAAAATATATATTAAAGTTCAAATTCAAAATTGTATTAACTTTCAGTGGTCTGTTTTAAATATTTGACAGTTTTTCGATTTAGCTATTCACTACTTTGGTTTGTACACACTTAATTTTTGTACAGTCAAACGAAAATTGTGAGTTCACTTGACAATGTTGTGTACAACTGAAACAACACTTCTTGGGAGCTCAAATTTTTGTGTGAGCTTTCACCACGCAACGGAACAACGAATAAAATAAAAAAGAAAAAAAAACTTGTCACAGAAGAAGATAAACAAAGTCTAACTAAAGAAGTGGTGGCAATGCGCAAAACATTGGCGGTAATTACACGAACAACGTCTTGCGGGTTGCCAACATTTTTTTGTTTCTTCGTCACGTGGTAATCGGCATTAGTAGAAGATTCTGTACATTCAATTAAGAATTAAGGTGGAAATATATTTTTAGGTTGTCCCCATTCACAACGTAAATGTACGCCACTGATCAAAGCTTATGATCACAGACTTATGATACTGACGCATTTTCATGGTGTTTCCTACACTGTTTTGATTGATTTGATTTTTGTAATCGTTGTGTTATCTAGTAACTGTACAGTCAGTGACAAAATAGATGTCGCCTTGGCAATAAAACATCAGTTGCGCCGCAGCGTGTACACCTTTATTACTTAACATATAAGTAGGTCCTTATGTCTATAAAAATATTTTAAATTACTTTAAAATCTAATTTACATAATTACAACAATCGTTCCGACTTTTACACTGTCTCCAGTATAACCTCGTGAAATGACAATATACAATGACAACATATGATACAATCATAACACAATCACATTGCTCAACAGCACCGACGAAAACGTCAACATAAAAAAATCTAAATCATAAAAAGACCGACTGTTAAATCCTAACTAATCACAAACGATAAAATCACGGAACCAATCCTACCACAAACACAAAAACCGTAAAACTATACTTACAGCCGAAACAATAGACTTGTACTAGTATAATCCCACCGCAATTAAAATCGAGTCCCGTTCAGGTTATCTCTTGAACCTGTTCTTAAAAGAACTTATACTTTTCAACATTAAAGGCGCTTTTTTCGGCTTGGTGGCGTGACTGCTCGTCCTCTCCACCGCCCGACTTCCCGGGTTAGGCACGGCTACCTTCCCGGCCTCTCCTGCGGTGGCCAGCGAGTTCAGTCTGGACGAAGGTGTGACGGCAGGCTTGCGAATATCGAAGGCGGTTCCGTTTTTGGCTTGCTTTCGCGCTGGAACCAAAAAACACATAGAAATTCTAGACGGCTTGGAAACTCTAGAAATTACCTATGTTTCGCGGTGGCTTCGCCACCGCGTCCACGTACGCTAGTTTAGTCATGCGCACTGGGAGCGACTTATCCTGCGATTGCTTGATGTTGGCAGTTAGAGCTTTGAGTTTGGCGTCTCGTTCGTCCAGACACCGCAAGTACATTTCGCGCCAGGTTTCGAGTTCTTGGCGGGGCTTGTTTCTGAATTCCTTTTGGCAGTGTAACTGCCAGAGTTCGTCGGTGTCTTCGATTAGGTAGGGGTTGTGGTGCTCCATCATGTAGAGTTGGTTGGGGGTGGCTTTTTCTAATATGGGTTTTAGGATGATGTAAGGGACGCCGCCGGTGTATTCTAAGGCGTCGATGTTGTCTTGGAGGATTCGGGTGCACAGCTCGAAGAGCGACGGGACTTTGCCGTAACCTACTTTATTGCCTGAATAAACCTTAGTCCTGGAATTTTGAATTAGATAAAAATTTTCAAATCGTGTGTCATGTACCTTTGGTTCTTGGAACTGATGATGTTGCTGAGGGTTTCGGACTCCGACAAGAACTTCTTGGGTTGGGCATCGGAAGATAGTAGATTACCTAGAGGGCGATAATTGGGAGTGATTGAGGGGAGGAGGCTTGATAGATTCAGATCTAGAGGCTCGACGACTGGTTCTTTTAATAGTAATTTAGGAACCTGAAAACGGAATTATAGTGTTATTTTTATATTTTGGTTACATTTATAATTATTGTTAATGTAGGCAACCAACATTTTTTCTCAGGTGAGTTTTTAATTTATGATCTTATTTTGGTAACATTTTTAGTTATTAATGTAGGTAATGTAGTTTTTTATTTATGACCTCATTACAGAGGCTGCGTTTATAATCCAGGGTTCGAAAATAAGAATTTCTTTTGTTATAAAATACTTTTCCACACCCTTAGAACCTCACCTAAATTTAAATAATTTATCTAAGATTTTTAGATAGAACTTCCCTCGTCTTTGAAACACAATAGCATCGATTTTCATGTTCATTACTTCTGAACATCCCCTGTAAATTTAATTTTTTGATGTTGCATGCTTGTCTGGTTTGTACAGTTGTGTATCTGCGCCAATTTTTATGGTCTGAAACATAAAAGGGTCGTTCAAAATTTTCACTTACTTTTTTTAAATTTAGGGGAGGTTGTGTGGTACTGTTTTTTTTTACAACTAATTACGTCAATACTTAATAGTTCATTAACATATTATACTTTAATCACCCATACTCCGCCACTGCCTTTGATTCAAAAATTCAGAATTGTATAACAAAATTGTTGCACTTTTACTTTGAAATTGCGAAATCGAATGCTTTGAGTCTTGCAAACGTTTTAAGGTTATCGAAAATATGGTAAATTGTCAATAAAAATTTATCCCCTCCAGAATTTTACAATTCTGTCGAATAAATGTTATTTAAAAGTTAAAAGATAACATGGTCTTGAACTTGTGGTTTATGAATCTGTATTGAATCTTAGACATCGAGATTTTTGGAAAAAATCAAAATTGTATAGGAATTTTTCTAATTTTTGATTTTTCAAGTTTTCGATATTTCTGTTTTGGGATTTCTCAATATGTATTTCGATTTTTTTTTTATCGTTCGATCTCCCAATTTTTTCTATTTTTCTATTTATCGATTTTTCGACTTTCCGATTTTTGGAAATTTCAATTTCTCTTTTTAACACATTTTACACTAAATTTTACACTTTTTTCGATTGCTCGTTTTCATGATTTTTCAGTTACATTTTTCGACTTCTCAATGTTTCGATGTTTTGACTTTTCGATTTCTTAATTTTTCAATTATTTGATGTTTCAGTTTTGGGATTTTTCAATTTTTCTTCGATTTTTCAGTTTTTAGATTTTTTGGATTACTCAATTTTTCGATATTTCACTTCTACGATTTTTTAAATATGTATTATATTTTTAAATTTTTTGATGTTTCGATTTCTCAATTTTTAATGTTTCGAATTCTTGATTTTAGATTTTTCAATTTCTCAATATACTAACTTTTCCGTTTTTTAATTGTTTGGCTTACCTTTTTTTTTAATTTAATATTTTTCAGTTTTTAATTTTTCCATTTTAGGCTATTTAGATTTCTCGATTTTTCGACGTCTCAATCTTTTGAAATTTCGATTTCTCGATTTTTCAATTCTTTAATGTTTCAGTTTTGGGATTTTTCCATTTTTCGGTTATTCAATTTTTCTTCAATTTTTTAATTTTTCGATTTTCAAATATTATATTTTTCAATTTTTTGATGTTTCGATTTCTCGATTTTTTGACTTCTCGATTTTCCATTTTTCAGTTTTTCGATTTTTCAATATGCTAATTTTTCAGTTTTTAATTCTTCATTTCAGGCTATTTATATTTCTCGATTTTTCGATTTCCCCCTGTTTCGATTTTTCAGCTTTTCGATTCTTCAATTATTGCTCTTCGGTTTTTACATTTTTTTGTTTTTTCGATTTATCAATTTTTCGATTTTTTAAATTTCACAATTTTCAATTTTTTGATGTTTCGATTTCTCGATCTCTCGATTTTTCGACTTCTCAGTTTTAGATTATTCGACCTTCAAAATTTTCGATTTTTGAATTTTCAATTTTTCAGTAGTTAAATTTTTCAATGTTCGATTTCTCGATATTTTGATATTTCGATTTCTGGATGTTTCAATTTTTCGTTTTTTTGAATTTTACAATGTTTTGATTTTACGATTTCTCGGTGTTTCGATTGCTCGATTTTTCAATTTTTTAACAATTCAATTTTTCAAATTTTCGATTTTTTGACATTTCGGTTTTTCGATTTTTAAAATTTTTTCGACTTTTCGTTTTCTTCGTTTTTCAACATTTCAATTGTAGGAATTTTTGAATTTCTCAATCTTTCCACATTTTCATTTTTTAAATTTGTAACACTTTTCAATGTTTCGATCCAACGATTTTTCGGTTTTTTCGACTTATCAGTTTTTCGATTTTTTAAATTTCAGATTTTTCAATATAAAATTTTTGATTTCTGAATTTTCAATTTTACAGCAGTAAAATTTTTCAATTATTTAATTTTTCGATTTCTTGATGTTTCAATTTTTGACTTTACGATTTTACAATTTTTTGATATTTTTTCAATTGCTCTTTGTTTCAGTTTTTCGATTTCCCGATTTTTTATTTTTTAACAATTCAATTTTTCGTATTTTAGATTTTTTGACATTTTGGATTTTGAAATTATTCGACTTTTCGTCTTTTCAATTTTTCACTATTTTAATCTCTGGGATTCTTCAATTTTTCGATATTCTAATTTTTTCAACTTTTCGATTGCTAGATCTGGCGATTTTTCGGCTTTTGAAATTTTTGGATCTTCGATTTTCCAATTTTTTTGATACTTCGATTTCTCGATTGTTAAATTTTTCAATTTTTTTCCATTTTTCATTTTTTTGGTATTTCCATTTATCTATATTTTAAGTCTTACATTTTTCGATTTTTTAAATAATTTAAATTTTCGACTCTTCAATTTCTCAAGTTTTCGATTTCCCAATTTTTCAACATTTAAATTTTTTCAATTTCTGCATTTCCCAATTTTCCAATTTTTTTTTAATCTTCAATTTTTTGATTTTTGATTTCTCCATCTTTCGATTTTTAAAATTTTTGATTTTTCTTTTGTTTCTATTTCTCAATTGTTCAATTTCTCAATTTTCCTCCTTTTTTCAATTCGATTTATCGATTTCTCGTTTTCTTGATTTTTAACAATTAAATTTTCGACTTTTTCAATTTCTCAATTTTTCAATTCTTTGATGTTTTAGGTTTGGGATTTTTAAATTTTTCGGTTATTCAATTTTTCTTTGATTTATCAATTTTTCGATTTTTTAAATTTTAGTATTGTCGGTTCTTCAATCTTTCCATTTATCAATTTTACGAATTTTTAAATTTCAGATTTTTCAATTTTTTATTTTTTTATTTAAATTTCGATTATTCGATTTCTGGATGTTTCAATTTTTCGATTTTTCCATTTTTTTCAGTTTTTCGATTTTTTAAATTTTACTTCTTTCGATTTTACGATTTTTTGGTGTTTCGATTCCCCAATTTTTTATTTTTTAGTAATTCAATTTTTCAAATTTTCGATTTTTTGACATTTGGGTTTTTCGATTTTTAAAATTTTTTGACTTTTTGTTTTCTCAGTTTTTTAACATTTCAATTGTAGGAATTTTTCAATTTCTGTATTTCTCAATCTTTCCACATTTTAATTTTTTAAATTTGTAACATTTCAGTTTTTCAATGTTCCGATCTATCGATTTTTCGACTTCTCAGTTTCGGATTGTTCAATCTTCAAAATTTTTGATTTTTGAATTTTCAATTTTACAGTAGTAAAATTTTTTAATTATTTACTTTTTCGATTTCTCGATATTTTGATATTTCGATTTCTCGATGTTTCAATTTTTGACTTTACGATTTTCCAATTTTTTGATGTTTTTTCAATTGCTCTTTTTTCAGTTTTTCGATTTCCCGATTTTTTATTTTTTAACAATTCAATTTTCCGAATTTTCGATTTCTTGACATCTCGGATTTTGAAATTATTCGACTTTTCGTTTCCTCAATTTTTCACCATTTCAATCTCTGGGATTCTTCAATTTTCCGATATTCTAATTTTTTCGACTTTTCGATTGCTAGATCTGGCGATTTTTCGAATTTCGATTTTTCGGCTTTTGAAATTTTTGGATCTTCGATTTTCCAACTTTTTTGATACTTCGATTTCTCGATTATTTAAGTCTTACATTTTTCGATTTTTTGATATTTCGATTTTTTCAATTTCTGCATTTCCCAATTTTTCGACTTTTTCGAATCTTCAATTTTTTGATATTCGATTTCTCGATCTTTCGATTTTTTGATTTTTCTTTTGTTCTATTTCTCGATTGTTCAATTTCTCAATTTTCCTCTTTTTTTCAATTACATATTCGATTTATCGATTTTTTAAATTTAAATTTTTCGATTTCTCGTTTTCTTGATTTTTAACAATTAAATTTTTCGACTTTTCAATTTCTCAATTTTTTAATTTCTGCATTTCTCATTTTTCGAATTTTTGACTTTTGGATTTCTCGAATTTTCAATTCTTTGATGTTTCAGGTTTGGGATTTTTAAATTTTTTCCGAATTTTCAATTTTTCACTTCTTCGACTTTTTAAACATTATTTTTTTGAACTTTTTAATGTCAATTTCTCAAGTTTTTGATATTTAATGTTTCGATTTTTTTAGTTTTAGAATTTTCCATTTTCTAATTGTTCTATTTATCGTTTTTTTGAATTTAAAATTTTTCAGTTTTCAACTTTTCGGTTATTCAATTTTTCTTTGATTTATCAATTTTTCGATTTTTAAAATTTTTCGCCTTTTCATTCTCAATTTTTCAACATTTCAATTTCAGGAATTTTTCATTTTCATCTCGATTTTTCGGTTTTTGAAATTTTTGATTTTTTGAATTTTTCAATTTTTCGGTTTCTAAAATTTAGAATTTTCGGTTCTTCGATCTTTCTATTTCTCGATATTTCGGTTTTTCGGCTTCTCACTTTTGGATTTTTCCATCTTCAAAATTTTTGATTTTTGAATTTTCAATTTTTCAGTACTTAAATTTTTCGATTATTCAATGTAAGATTTCTCGATATTTTGATATTTCGATTCCTGGATGTTTCAATTTTTCGATTTTTTAAATTTTACAATGTTTTGATTTTACAATTTGTTGGTGTTTCGATTGCTCGATTTTTCAAATTTTCGATTTTTTGACATTTCGGTTTTTCGATTTTTAAAATTTTTCGACTTTTCGTTTACTCAGTTTTTCAACATTTCAATTGTAGGAATTTTTCAATTTCTGGATTTCTCAATCTTCCCACATTTTAATTTTTTAAATTTGTAACATTTCAGTTTTTCAATGTTTCAATCTATCGATTTTTCGACTTCAGTTTCGGATTTTTCAATCTTCAAAATTTTTGATTTCTGAACTTTCAATTTAACAGTCGTAAAATTTTGCAATTATTTAATTTTTCGACTTCTCAATATTTTGATATTTCGATTTCTCGATGTTTCAATTTTTGACTTTACGATTTTCCAATTTTTTAATGTTTTTTTAATTGTTGTTTTTTTCAGTTTTTCGATTTCCCGATTTTTTATTTTTTAACAATTCAATTTTCCGAATTTTCGATTTCTTGACATTTCGGTTTTTGAAATTATTCGACTTTTCGTTTTCTCAATGTTTCTCCATTTCAATCTCTGGGATTCTTAAATTTTCCGATATTCTAATTTTTTCAACTTTTCGATTGCTAGATCTGGCGATTTTTCGGCTTTTGAAATTTTTGGATCTTCGATTTTCCATTTTTTTTGATACTTCGATTTCTCGATTGTTAAATTTCCCAATTTTTTCCGTTTTTCATTTTTTTGGTATTTCAATTTATCTATTTTTAAGTCTTACATTTTTCGATTTTTTGATATTTCAATTTTCCGATTTTTTTAATAATTAAAATTTTCGACTTTTCAATTTCTCAACTTCTCAACTTTTCGATTTCCCAATTTTTCAACATTTAAATTTTAGGATTTTTTCAATTTCTGCATCTCCCAATTTTTCGATTTTTTCGAATTTTCAATTTTTTAATATTCGATTTCTCAATCTTTCGATTTTTGGATTTTTAAAATTTTCGATTTTTCTTTTTTTTCTCTTTCTCGATTGTTCAATTTCTCAATTTTCCTCCTTTTTTCAAGTACATATTCGATTTATCGATTTTCTAAATTTAAATTTTTCGATTTCGGGCTACATATTTCGATTTTTTGATTTTCCGATTTTTCGATTTCTCATTTTCTTGATTTTCAAGAATTAAATTTTCGACTTTTCAATTTCTCAATTTTTGAATTTCTTCATTTCTCATTTTTCCAATTTTTGACTTTTGGATTTCTCGATTTTTCAATTCTTTGATGTTTCAGGTTGGGATTTTTCAATTTTTCCGTTATTCAATTTTTTTTCGATTTTTCAATTTTCATATTTTTTCGAATTTTCAATTTTTCGGTTAATCAATTTTTCTTTTATTTATCAATTTTTCGATTTTTTAAATTTTTTGATACATATTTCGATTATTCGATTTCTGGATGTTTCAATTTTTCGATTTTCCAATTTTTTTCAGTTTTTCGATTTTTAAAATTTTATATCTTTCGATTTTACGATTTTTTAGTGTTTCGATTCCCCGATTTTTCATTCTCAATTTTTCAACATTTCAATTTTAGGAATTTTTCCTTTTCATCTCGATTTTTCGATTTTTGAAATTTTTGGTTCTTTGATTTATCAATTTTTCGGTTTTTTAAATTTTATAATTTTCGATTCTTCGATGTTTCTATTTCTCAATATTTCGATTTTTCGACTTCTCAGTTTTAGAATACTCAAATTTTTAAAATTTGATTTTTGAATTTTTCAGTAGTTAAATTTTTCGATTATTCAATGTAAGATTTCTCGATATTTTGATTTTACAATGTGTTGGTGTTTCGATTGCTCGATTTTTCAAATTTTCGATTCTTTGACATTTCGGTTTTTCGATTTTTAAAATTTTTCGACTTTTCGTTTTCTCAGTTTTTCAACATTTCAATTGAAGGAATTTTTCAATTTCTGGATTTCTCAATCTTTCCACATTTTATTTTTTTTAATTTGTAACATTTCAGTTTTTCAATGTTTCGATCTATCGATTTTTCGGTTTTTTCGGCTTATCAGTTTTTCGATTTTTTAAATTTCAGATTTTTCAATTTTTTGATGTTTCGGTTTTTCGACTTCTCAGTTTTGGATTTTTCAATCTTCAAAATTTTTGATTTCTGAATTTTCAATTTTACAGTAGTAAAATTTTTCAATTATTTAATTTTTCGATTTCTCGATGTTTCAATTTTTGACTTTACGATTTTCCAATTTTTTGATGTTTTTTCACTTGCTCTTTTTTCAATTTTTTTCAAAAGAATTTTTCAATTCTTCGAAATTCTAATTTTAAAATTAGAGCACCACCGCTAAAATACCTGAACATAAATATACCACAGTAGCGAAAACACCAATGAAAATATTCTTAGTACGTTATAAAACATTAAAATATTATCTTTATAGGACACGGTGTTTATGACCAACAATCTTTAATATAGTTAGAATAGGTACAGATAGTGCGATAATTTTTTGGTCGGCTTATTGTTCCAGCGCCTGTTTTCGAAATGACCCCAAAACAAATCATCAGATAACATTGTAAACATTAGATTTTCATTTCAACGGTAAATAAATTACTTCCACCTACATCATAAACGTTGATAAAAAAATCTTTGAAATGCCGTCAGATTATCGAACTGAACAAATTTACAAAAGATGGAAACGTTTACTTAAAAAGATTAACTTTCGGCTATAAAATAACCAAATACACATCTCAATACCGGTTGCATAACGTATTTTGGACCCATCCCCTCTAAAAAACTGATGACGTCATCTTAACACATCCCGAATCGATCGCATGTCGCCATGACGTCACGCATGTTTTAAAGCAAATAAATTTATTCTAAAACGTAATTACGCATGAAAATAAATGCTAATTGTTATAATGAATAACCCAAACAAAGCAAACATACCGAATCATCTGATTTACTCGGCGGCTTCTCCTTTTTCTCAGTTGGCTTTTTCTTAGCGCTGCTTTTACTAGAGGAGGGCTCGCACATCCCCAAAGCCTCCGCGAAACTCGTTCCAGAGCCGGAATCGATCCCAGTAATTTTCAAACCCCCATTCGCCACCTTTTTCTTTTTTTCTTTTTTATCGTCGCCTTTATCCTTCGTTCGCTCTTTCTCTTCGCTTCTGTGTTTACTCTTTTTATCATTCTCTTTGGTTTTAGAGCTGTGTTCGTGCCTCTTGTAGTCTTCTTTTTTGCTATGTTTGTGTTTATCTTTATGGGTGTCTTTCGATGTACTTGGTTTTTCTTTATCTTTATCAAGTGACTTGTGCGACTTTTTCTTTTCACGACTTCTGTATTCGTCGTCGCTGTCTTCGTCAGACAACTCTCGAATTTTTTTCTTCTCGTGTTTGTGTCTTTTTTCCTTTGATTTAGTTTCATGCTCGCTGTCGTCGTCTGAGGAGTCTCTGGGTTTCTTCTTTTCTGGTTTATCATACTTTTTGTGTTTTCTGTCTCTTTTCTTGTCGTCTTCGCTGTCGCTGTCGATCCGCCGTCTGTGTCTACTGTCACCCTCACTCTTCTTTTTTTTCTTTGGAGTTTCATCCTCACTACTTTCAGCTTTCCTTTTATGTGACTTGTGTCTGTCATGGCCATTTTCTTTATGTCTATCTTTCTCGCTGGAAGATTTAGACTCTGAACTATGGCTTGTATGACCCGATTTCGAGGAATGTTCTCCGCTTTTCCTCACTTTATTTCTATCGTCAGTCTCGTTATGAGTTTTATCACTTTTCCTATGACTAGAAGAATTCTCTCGGACTTGCTCTATCTCAGGACTTTGCGTATCGTCGTCACTTGATTGATCTTCACCAGTCTGATACCCATCTTCTTCATCTTCATCCTCCTCTTCCTCCTGCTCCCCCACCACCATTTCTTTCCACTTAGTGACCAAACGCCTCGCATATTCACCCACTTCTCCACCCAGCTTCCGTAACCCATTCACCGTACGACCCACCCCGGTCTGTTCCAAATGTACCACCTTAATGGGGAGCTTGTACAACCTATCCAAGTAATGCAACAGCTGGAAAAACCCCATTTCACCCAAGTGTCACAAATATTTTTCAAAAAGCCCTACCTTATTATCGTTCCTGTTTTCAGTGTGTCTGTCCAAGCTATCTTGGTAGTGTTTCACCGCTTTCACTAAATTCTCGTCCATATCACCCATTTTCACGTCCTATTATGCGAAAATTCCGAATTCTGCCACTACAAACAGATGGTCACCTGTTAACTCAATAACATTGTGATTTTCGGTTACTGCGCAAAATAATTTCAATGAGGCTTTGTAGAAGCGAAATCGGGTCGGTGTCACTATAAATTCACTAGCATAGTGATGATTTTTGACGATATTGAACACTTGAACCACACACTAGTATTAATCAGCTGTCACTAGAATGCACCTACATGTTACCATGTTGGGGGAATATGGCCGGACTAAACGGAGGACGCGATCGCTAATTTTCAACAACAATAATACAACAATTAATTGTTGGAAACCATGAAATTGTAATTTATTGTAACGAAAGTAGTAATAACATTGCAGCAGAAATGTTCAGCAATTGCAGTCACTATGAACAGTCGAGTCGATATGTAGGAAACTGTAACCAAATTCTTAAATTTTTTGATTACGTTAATTTCCAAAAACTCTCAATCGTTTGAAACGTGGCCCCTTTGGAAATTTTTGGTTTGACCACAAGTTTCAGGTTTAATCTTCAAAGTGCGTACAAAGAGGTTATGTCCACGGTCTGTCACTGTCAACATGACAGTTTATAATATTTACATTTTTGATAAAAGTGGAATTTTGCTTTATTATAACGAATGGAACCGGTTAAAGCAGTCAGGCATGACCAGAGAAGAGGTAAGAACGCAAACTTTGAAAATGGTTACTTTGTACGCTTTTCCAGGAAGGCAAACTGATGTATGGGATGTTGTTTTCAATCAAGTCCTTCGTGAGCAAAATCTCCCCAACGGACACTAAAGAGGGCTTCCTCTACTACAAAACGTCAAAATACACTCTCCACTTTCTGGAGACTCCCTCAGGTTTGAAGTTCGTTTTAAACACGGACAACAACGCCCAGGGAGTGCGGGAGTTACTACAACAAATCTATAGTCAAGTTTTCGTGGAATATGTGGTGAAAAACCCCCTAGCCAAGCTGTCGGAACCCATACAGTCAGAATTGTTCAAAACGAAGCTCGACACTTTCATAAAGCAGTCGCCAGTGTATTTAACAAAAGCTTTATAATTTGTAAATTGTAATAAATAATTTAATAAAATTTTTGTCGCTACACGAATCTGATTGGTTGGCCACGTCTACACTGGAAAACGCTTTTCCAGTATAAATCTAATTTCGCTCTATGTTGTAAACATAATCCAGCCGTAAAATCGCTTAATTAAGCCAATAAAACTAATGCTAGGTGCTATTTCTGCATAAGGCACTAAGAGGAAAATCAGCAAATTACATCAATCATGCACGATTATCTAATTTGTAGTCGACTTCAGCCCCAATCATTCGCATTTAAATTAAATGCGATTCAAGTCGTGCCGACGGTGGTTGAACTCGACATATCTGGAGCAATTTATTTAATATTCAATAAAAGAGAAAAAAAATTAGGTCGCATCTACCGACCGCATGATTGCATCAAGGATATTAAATCTATTAAATCTGTTGGGACTGAACTTCCTATTTCGCTCGCTGCTGCAAGTTTTATTAAGTTAGTGGTTTTTTGCTTAAAAATAAAGATTTTTTTAAATTTAGTTTTCGAGTATGCAACCAGTTATACACCAAATTATGAGAAACTACAAATTATGCAACAAATGTTAATTTTGTAAGAAGTAGTTTCAAATTCAATTCCAGAGGGTGTATATTTTGTTAAAAACTTTCAAGATCCTAAATTGCGTTTACGACGTTTCCCTAATTACACATTCCACGTGGATTCCATTCCGGCCAGAGGTCGTAATTTGGAACCACACAGTCATCAAACTTTCAAAAGGTCGTTTGCACTATTTTATGCGATTTTTACAATTTAAAAGCCAAAAACATTGAACGAGCTTTGGAAAGTCTGAAAGTTGAAATCCGTTTTTGTGCTCATTATTTCGTGTGCATGTTTTAGAATAATAAGATTGGCGAACACAACTTTAAAAGGTCATGTTCTTCTAGAAAATGAGGCCGGGATTTCTTCTTATTGTTTTGTTTTAACCGCACCAACTTTAACTTTCTTATTACAACAACAACCAGCTTATTTCCTTTACGGAGTTTTCGTAACAAAATTAACCAAGTAAACTTTACTAGACGCAGCATTAGTCACGAAAACAACATTCTCGTTAAGCTTCCTTTACATTACCTAATTGGAAACATTTTTTTCGTTTGAATGTTTCCAATAATTGGAAACGTGTAGACGCTAATTACTTTGTAGGATCTTCTCACTGTCTTTTGACACAAAGAAGTCAAACGAGTCGAATATGAATAATTCCGCGTGGGTTTTTTTCGTTCGAAAACAGCCCCAATGATCCCAATATTCGGCATTCCACCCCTTGCATCGGCCATTAATCCACTCTGGACCCTGAATAACCGAAGCCACCTGTGCGTGATGGGATCTGTGCGTCAAAACTCCTGCTAAAAGAGGAAGCGCGCGCGTTCGACCGTCAGTTAGTCCTTGCCACTGCCGAGGACATGTTTTGGATCCTGCGAAGGACGAGGCTTACGAGCGCGGCCGCGTTACTCAACAATCTCAATAACAACAACAGCGGTGAGTTTGCTGTTAGAATTGCAATTTTTATGTGTTATGAGCACGATGAGGCCACTTTTTGGATGTTTTTTGGACACAAAAAAGTTTGGCTGGACGCGCGCTAGTGTAGTCTTGATTTTTTTTTGGAGTTTGAATTTCCCGGCAAGGTGGGTGAAGTTTTTTTTATAAATTTATAAAAGTTTTTAAAAGGAAACAAGTTTTAAAAATCCGTCTATTGAGGAAATGTATAGCGATTTTTTTTATTTAACTAGTCTGTAAGATTACAGTGCTTTAATAAACTCGCAAACGAGAGACCTATTTTTTCCTGCTGTACGAATCATGAAACGTCCCTGCCACCCTTTCTTAGAATTCCCGGTGAATCACAAAAGCCTCCCACTACCAGTTGCACCTCATCCGAATTAAAGCTTCCCTCTTCCAGCTTATTATTTTTCCGCAGACGGATTTTTCAAGCGAAATTTTCAAGCTCTTCGAGCCAATTCGTCTTAACTGTTCCATCAAAAAGTGCCGATTGATCTCTGATTAAGCTCTCAACTCCATCTTTCAAGATTCAATTTGCCTCATGTCAGCCCCGAAACTCGTTTCCGACAGTCTAAACGACCGCTATGATTTCACGGTTAATACAATAAGGACTTTATGCGTCGGTTCTAATGCAGATTAACCGCACCATTAAAACGTCCCATGCAGCATTCACCACTTAGCAGACGTCACACTGTAATTAAATTAAAACTTGAACATATTTCCGACACTTTTTCGTACTTTGTGCACGCACGAAATCGTTAATTTAATTTATTTTTAACGAGAAAACTTTTAAACCGTGGGAGCTTTTAATTTAAGTGCGGTTTGGAGGCTTTTGTGTATGGTAGGTAATAGTGATAAGGTGATTTGGTAGAGTGAGTTTTTCCTCACGGACTCGGCTTGAGCACCCCCACACAAATAAATGCGTTTATTGTGGTGGAGGTTTTAAGTATCCGGGTTTCAGGTGAGTGGAAATAATATCGACTTTATTTTGCAGTGGTTGGAATAAATATGAGGTAACCCAATAATCAACGAACCGAATTCTACTACATTATTGTGTTTATTCCCCCAAAAGCACAATCATGAAATAAAACTGAATTTACATTTTATTGTTCCTATGTTTCCGTGCTTTAATTTTAATTAATTGATCTCGTTACTCAAATTTGCAAACAGAGTTTAGCGAGCTCTTTTGATTGGGTTTTATTAATATTTAATTGATTTTCGTTTTTTCGCCGACTGTGTTTATTTTAGCGGGGTTTGTACGGGTCTGAATGCGCCGTCAGCGCGATTGAAAAATTCTTGGGGTGCAGCAGACCATGATATATGTATGTGGTTGGCATCATTGATTTAAACGCTGCGTCAAACCGAAATGTTTGTTTTATAGAGAAGTAGGCTTAGACGGACTTTCATTGGGTAAGACGATAAGGTTATGGACATTTATTAGGTGATTTTATCACCAGTTTTTAGTCTTTTCGAGCTAGAAAAAATAAGCATATGTTTGTTCGATATTTAAAAAAGATAATTCAAATGTTACCAAAAACCAGAGACCAATTTCATTAGTATGCAGTTTTGTTAAAAATCTTTGAGGTCCTAGTTTTCTTTGAGAATACGAAAAAAACTGCTGCCAACAGTGTTTTTTTGAAAAGAACCTGAAAGATCTTCTATAAAAGAATTTCCGGTGCCCATTGAATTTTTTCGTAAAGAATATGAAAGTCTTGGGGACCATTTGTTTTTGAAATAATCTGAAAGAATATTGACTTCCCTGGTATTATTTTAAGAGTTTGAAAGAATTTTAAGATCTCTAGTTCTTTCTGAGAATTTGAAAAATATCTTGAAGGTCCCTTCTTGTTTTTTTTTTTTAAATAGTTTGAAAGAATCTTAACGACTTCTAGTGGTTTTTTTTTTAACGTTTGTAAAAGGATCTTCGGTGCCCCTATTTTTTTTTTGCAACAATGTGGAGTCTTGGACATCATTGGCGTTTTATTTTTGAAAAAATTTGAATGTATCTTAAGGTCCTATAATTTTTTTTTAGAAAATAAAAATCATAGTGTTTTATGTTTAATAGAATTTGACAAAATCTTTTTAATTTTTAAGAGTTTGAGAGAATTTGAAAGAATCTTGAGTTCCTCTCGTATTATTTTAAGAGTTTGAAGGAATCTTAAGAGCTCTAGTATATTTTTTTTAAGAATATGAAAGAAATCTGAAAAGAATCTGAGAAAATCTGGGAATTTCTGGAGTTATTTTTTGAAAGAATCTAAAAAAATCTGATAAAGAATATGAAAGTCTTGAGGACTACTCTGTTTTATTTTTGAAAGAATTTGAACGAATCTTGACTTCTCCACGTATTATTTTAAGAGTTTGAAAGAATTTTAAGAAGATTTTGGAAATTGATGGTGTTTTCTGTTTGAAAGAATCTTAAAGACCACTAATGTGTTCTTTTTAAAATTTGTAAAAAAATCTTCGGTGCCCTTAGAATTTTTTCGTAAAGAATATGAAGATCTTGGCGATCAGCGGCGTTTGGTTTTTGAAATAATTGGAAAGAATCTTTGAGTTTTGAAAAAGATTGAAAATATCTTGGAGATTATTGGTGTTTTCGTTTGAAAGAATTTGAAAGACCCCTGATGTTTCCTTTAAAAATCTGTAGAAGAATCTTCAAGATCAGTGTCTTTTTGAAAAGAATCTGAAAGGATCTTCAGGTTTTTAAAGTTAAAATGTTCTTGGAGATTTTTGTTTCTCATCTTAAAGGCTCCCAATATAACTTTTAAAACTTTGTAAAAGAATTTTCGGTGGCCTTAGAATCTTTTTTGTAAAGAATGTGAAAATCTTGGGGACCAATGGCATCTTGTTTTTGAAAGAATTTGAACGAATCTTGACTTCCCCACGTATTATTTTAAGAGTTTGAAAGAATTTTAAGAACTCAAGTTTTTTGAGAATTTGAAAAAAGTCTTGAAGGTCCCTGGTGTTTTATGTCTGGAAGAACTGGAAAAAATCTGGATATATTCGATTTTAATTTTTAAAAGAATTTGAAAGAATCTTAAAAGTGTTTAGTTTTTGAAAGAGGTTGAAGACTCTTAAAATTTCCAATATTGATTTCCCTTTTTATTATTTTAAGAGGTTGAAAGAATTTTAAGGTTTCTAGTTTTGTGCTTTTGAGAATAAGGAAAAATTTTGAAGGTCCTTGGTGTTTTATTTCTGAAAGAATTGAAGTTAATCTGAATATTCTCGAGCTTAATTTTTGAAAGGATTTTAATGTTGCGGGTGTTTTGTTTTTAAAACAGGCTCCTAAAGCTGTTTAAAAAAAAAAGTGAAAGAATCTTCGGGTTTCGAAAGAAGTTTAAAAGATTTTGGAAATTGATGGTGTTTTCTGTTTGAAAGAATCTTAAAGACCACTAATGTGTTCTTTTTAAAATTTGTAAAAAAATCTTCGGTGCCCATAGAATTTTTTTCGTAAAGAATATGAAGATCTTGGCGATCAGCGGCGTTTGGTTTTTGAAATAATTTGAAAGAATCTTTGAGTTTTGAAAAAGGTTGAAAATATCCTGGAGATTGTTGGTGTTTTCGTTTGAAAGAATTTTAAAGACCCCTGATGTTTCCTTTAAAAATCTGTAAAAGAATCTTCAAGATCAGTGTCTTTTTGAAAAGAATCTGAAAGGATCTTCAGGTTTTGAAAGTTAAAATGTTCTTGGAGATTTTTGTTTCTCATCTTAAAGACTCCCAATATAACTTTTAAAACTTTGTAAAAGAATCTTCGGTGGCCTTAGAATCTTTTTTGTAAAGAATGTGAAAATCTTGGGGACCAATGGCGTCTTGTTTTTGAAAGAATTTGAACGAATCTTGACTTCCCCACGTATTATTTTAAGAGTTTGAATGAATTTTAAGAACTCTAGTTTTTTTGAGAATTTGAAAAAAACTTGAAGGTGCCTGATGTTTTATTTCTGGAAGAATTGGAAAAAATCTGGGTATATTCGATTTTAATTTTTAAAAGAATTTGAAAAAATCTTGAAAGTGTTTTGTTTTTGAAAGAGGTTGAAGACTCTTAAAATTTCCAATATTGACTTCCCCTTTTATTATTTTAAGAGTTTGAAAAAATTTTAAGGTTTCTAGTTTTGTGCTTTTGAGAATAAGGAAAAAATTTTGAAGATCCTTGGTGTTTTATTTCTGAAAGAATTTAAGTTAATCTGGATATCCTCGAGGTTAATTTTTTAAAGAATTTTAATGTTGCTGGTGTTTTCTTTTTAAAAGAGGCTCTTAAAGCTGTTTCAAAAAAAAAGGGAAAGAATCTTCGGGTTTCGAAAGAAGTTGAAAAGATTTTGAAAATTGATGATGCTTTCTATTTGAAAGAATCTTAAAGACCACTAATGTGTTCTTTTTAAAATTTGTAAAAAAATTTTCGGTGCCCATAGAATTATTTTCGTAAAGAATATGAAGAGCTTGGCTGTCAGCGGCGTTTGGTTTTTGAAATAATTTGAATGAATCTTTGAGTTTTGAAAAAGGTTGAAAATATCTTGGAGATTGTTGGTGTTTTCGTTTGAAGGAATTTTAAAGACCCCTGATGTTTCCTTTAAAAATCTGTAGAAGAATCTTCAAGATCAGTGTCTTTTTGAAAAGAATCTGAAAGAATCTTCAGGTTTTTAAAGTTAAAATGTTCTTGGAGATTTTTGTTTCTCATCTTAAAGGCTCCCAATATAACTTTTAAAACTTTGTAAAAGAATTTTCGGTGGCCTTAGAATCTTTTTTGTAAAGAATGTGAAAATCTTGGGGACCAATGGCATCTTGTTTTTGAAAGAATTTGAACGAATCTTGACTTCCCCACGTATTATTTTAAGAGTTTGAAAGAATTTTAAGAACTCAAGTTTTTTGAGAATTTGAAAAAAGTCTTGAAGGTCCCTGGTGTTTTATGTCTGGAAGAACTGGAAAAAATCTGGATATATTCGATTTTAATTTTTAAAAGAATTTGAAAGAATTTTGAAAGTGTTTTGTTTTTG